GACTTGCACACGCTAAATGTGTGCATAAAAAAGAAACATCAGGATATAATTTAGAATAAAGTATTTATCGCAACCAGACCCCTTCGGAGACGGGGCCCCCTCACTGGGCCAGAATCAAGGGTCGCGTTCCCCCATTTCACTCCTACTCATATACTATTCAAAAAAAGTAGGGGATATTTGATTTTTAAGTGTTATTAAAGTCACCTAATGAAACTGACGAAGAAACAAATGACAAAATGAAATGAAGTTCACATTCATCGATTTATTCCAAATGATCGTTAGACTAAGTAAGGCACAGACTGACCATTATAAGGGTAAAATGATACCCGGGGTCAAACAGCAAAGTTACCACAGCATCACAACCAAGTCAGTAACGGGTAAATCCTCCTCTGTTTGCCAAACAAGCATTGATCCGACGTGGCATACTCCTAATGAGACGTCTAAGGTCATTTTGGTCCAGATTGTCCCATTCCTGTTGCAACGCAGCAGCAAGTTCTTGGACATTGGCAGGACGTTGTTGACGTTGACGTAACCTCTGTCCAAGCATGTCCCAGACATGCTCGATGGGGGAGAGGTCGGGACTCAGTGCTGGCCAAGGTAATGTGGTGATGTTCTGTTGTTGGAGGTAACCTGTAACGATCCTGGCCCTGTGACATCTTGCGTTGTCATCCTGGAAGATGAAACGGCGGCCATGACGTCGTGCGAACGGCACAACATGGACTGCCAAGATGTTGTCCCGGTAGTACTGGCCTGTAACATGCCCTGCAACAACATGTAAAGCCGTTCTTCCAGCAACAGTGATGCCTCCCCACACCATAACAGAACCACCCCCAAATCGATCATGTCTGATGACGTTAACGTCTTGGAAGCGCTTGTTTCGACGACGCCACACCCTCCTACGTCTGTCCAAAAAATCAACAGTGAACCTTGACTCATCTGAAAACATCACATTGCTCCAGCGTCGATTATCCCAGTGTTGACGATCCCTACACCAACGACGTCTTGCCTGAATGTGATGATCTCTCAAACAAGGGATCACGCGAGGACGTCGGGCGCGAAGGTGACCCCTATGCAGTCGATTCCGAATCGTCTGGCCACTCACTCTCACACCAGTGTCTGTTTGAAGACGAGCGCTGATCTGATTTGCTGTGATGACACGATTTCTCAAGGCCAAGGTACGGATAAATTGATCCTGGGCTTGAGTTGTCGCCCTTGGTCGACCTGAGCGTGGTCTGTCCTGTACAGATTGTGTATCACGGTATCTGGACCATAGCCTGCTTATGACAGACTGAGAAACATTCATCGTCCGCGCCACAACCGCCTGTGTTGTGCCGATCTGTAGCATGCCAAGGGCACGTAACCTTTCATTTTGGGTAAGCCGACGCATATCAAAATTTGTTTTCTGGTCACTAAAACAATTAAACTGATGTTTCCACCCTGGAATTCAATGCCACAATGACTGTAACATTCAAAGTCAGAGTCGTGCAAATCTTGGGTTGGACCCCCATGATGATCCCAAGCATCACCTGCATTCCATGCGGTAGCTATTGGTGCGTTTGGGCGTCACATGTAACTGGAAATGTTTTTTCTGTTAGGTTCTATAGTGACTTTTTTCGTAGTCATTTGCATATTTTAGTATTATGCCCCCAAAATCAAATATCCCCTACTTTTTTTGAATAGTATAGCTCGTCAACCCACTGATTAAAATTCACATGGGTCAATTAAAAATATTGCTGTTTTCTCCTTAAATAATTGTTCCCCATGAATAAAAGTCACACCATACAGATTACTTGTAAGTAATACATTCCAGTGATGGGAGTCGTGGTGGCTCAATGCGTAAGAAATGAAATGGGTTTAACGTTGTACTGTTCTGCCCCGACTGGGTTAATGAAGACGACTCAATGAGTAAGGTCTAGGGTTTGCTCCTGATGTAGGGCAAGAAAGACAAAATCTCCCCAAAATACAATTACCCAGTATACAAAACACAACTTCGAATATGAGCCGGAAATATACTAAAAATAGTTTCTTACCTATTTTTGTAATTAAGTGAACGGTGGTATCAAACTTGATTATGCAAAATGTCTGAACACGGGAACAGATATACTCACCGCCATTATTCTGTATTAGTAAATAACCATTGGCGTAGGAGCTCAATTGCCCGAAATCAATATAATATAATCAATATAGTATATATATCGAAATCAATATGATCAATATATAGTATATTATATTGATTATATATAATCAATATAATATAATATAAATCAATATAATTCTTGGTCACTGCCGCACCACCGAAAACGGGCGAATCCACCCTGGCAATTGGCTGTTTCCTAGCAGTTTTCCATCTGGCTCGTTTCCTCTGCCGTTTTCCGGCCCGATGCCCGTTTTTCGGGCAATACCATTTTTTCGGGCATATTTTCGGGCATGCAGTAGACAAGAAAAAGACGAGAAAATACTTTTCGGGCAGTGTGGATCTCATAGAAATAAGTTAGTTATATTTTTTCTCTAAACGTTAATAGAAAAAAAAGGTCGTCGAATTTTTCATTGCCCGAAAATAAATTTTTTGGGGGGCATTTCCCCCGGCTCCTACGCCTATGTAAATAACACTAGCAAGGTTATATCTCATTTGATAGAAATGATTTCTGAAGGTAACAACTGAAGGAGGAAATTTAGTGAAGATCCACATGATCAAGATCATCCTGCAGCATGAATAAAACATTTTAGTTGATATTTCGTTTCAATATACCGGGAAATATCCAATATATTTCGAACTGACAACCACACTATTTTTTTTAGACAAAATAATCAATACAAATTTCGGAATATCCTTAAAATTAGATACCTCTGTAGGCTCTGGCGTAAGGGTCGTTTTGGTCATGGAACGTAGGCATCTGTATGCATGCGCCACAATAGTCTACACCCCTAGCATGGCTTTTGTTCTGAAAATTATTCACCGTTTCACGAGTAAACGGCCAAGCCAACAGTTAATAAATGGCACCCATTAGTTACATAAATAAGCAATCTTTTTATAAATCTAGCAATCAAACTGTTTGTCGTTCTGCTTGACCAGAGCAGAAAATACCAATTATCGATCCTAGTCATGGTCATGGACAACGCCGGATTAACCATGGGGCCCAGGCCCCAGGGCCCCCCACATTAGAGGGCCCCCACAAAAATCACAGTTGCGCGCCTCGAGCATGGTCGGACCGAGGACGCCAGTGACAGGGCCCCTCCAATGCTCCGAGGGCCCTCCATCGGAAGTCCCTGGGGCCACATTCCCCAACGTTGAAGCAATATTGAGAATATATCTGTGTATGATGATATCTAATTGTTCTGGGGAGAGATCTTTCTCCAAATTCAAAATTATCTCCGGTCTACGATGGGTCAGGATAGGCTAGTGTATTTGATTCGGCTGGCCTCTGAAAGCGATATCCTGCGCAACATCAATGCCGAAGAAACTATTGCAAAATTCGCCAGGGGCAAAAAATAGAAGAGTGTTCATCCATTGATAACGCGAATTATCGCTAACTCGAACAAAATTCGTTGAACGAATATTTTCTTTCGTTTCCCTTTTATAAAACATCGAATAACTCGGAAACTGTAACTCGAATTATCGCATAGCTCGAACCAAATTTCCGGTAAAATCCTTATCGAAGTCTTATATTTACATCGCCTAACTCGAACTGTAAATAATGGATCTTGCAGGAGAGTGTGCCTTGGCAACTTTCCCGGAAACTTGAAGATCTGAAAAATAAACGCTTTTTGTGGCTTTATCTAAGGGTGTAACACATGGTCTTTTATTGTCGTGAGATCTTCTATCGGACCGAACATCGTCTAACTCGAATTATCGTATAACTCGAACAAATTACCCGTCCCCATCGTTTAGAGTAGATCGAATTTTGCCTCAGATTGACGTACGATTGTATATAAGCTGTAGTTGTTGTTGTTGATATTTGTTGTGGGTATAAGCTGAATTTGATGAGATGCACATCATGATCACACGAAATATTCAGATTTCTTGATTAAATCTCGTATTACCATTTGGTACTTACAGTGTTAGACGTTCGTCAAAAATCGAGTCCGGCTTGGTCGTAACGTTACGGCCTCCATTCATCAAATCATCGTGGGGGATATAATACGATTCCGAATCAAGTGACCCCGTTATTTATCACTGAGCGACTTCACAATTAGGTTTGATGTAGCTCTGCTGACTTACAGTGGCGGATTTAACGGGCGAACGGGGTGGTGTGTGTCCGACCTGTGTGTTTCGAAGGCAGGTAAATCTGCTTGCAGACGACTAGGGTTTGTGCGAGTCGGGGTGTCGTACTTGGTATATAGAGCGGCCTGTTGTGGCTGCGATGCGTTGAGACTTGTCCCTCGACTAGAAGATTTGTCCGCTTCAGACGGACAGAGCTCTCTCTCTGTATATTTGTTTTTCTCAGCTACTTCTTCACTTCCACTTCCACTTCGCGCGCCCCAGCCGAAGAAGAAGAAGAAAGAGAAGAAGGGGGAGAATTTTTACCCGTTTGCCCGACGGCCCGTGTCTACACGCAATCGGTGTGGGACTTGTGAGAACGAAATGACGGACCGGGGGAAAAGAGACGGCCAAGAGTGCCCCGTCTCGAAATTTGAGAGAGATGCGGCCGAGGCGGTCGGGCTGGAATTCCTCAGGAAATCACGTTTCCGGCCTCCAATTTCTGAAAATTCCCCCCCCCCCCCCCCCGAGACCCCCCTTGCGGGGCTTCGCGTCATCGGCGCTCGCGATGGCCGGTTTCGCCTGCCACAGCTCCGCGGTCGTTGATCAGGGGCCCCCCACATGTTCCAGGCCCCAGTTCCCCCACCATGGTTAATCCGGCGTTGGTCATGGATATAAGGAAACACCAAAAGGTTCCAAAAGATGTGATGAACAGCTGCTTAGCCTAAGCAGAAAATGACCTTGTGTTGTGTTTTGTTATGAATAGGCTATTTTTGGTTTTGGCATATGTACCATCATATGCAATTTTCATTCAGTTTTATTATCTTTATTTTAAAATAAAATGTTGGCATCACATAGATTTTAATAAAATGTACAAAATGAAAAAAGCTGTATTTCAACACTCAACAATTTAATTAGCACTAATACTGTAATAAGTTATAGTGTAAAACACTTTAGTATATAAGGCAGTATTGAAATAATCTCTTGTTACCTGTAGTACCAGAACTGTTTAATATAATATGGGTCATTCGTTAGCAAAGTACATATAATCAGTTATAAGAACAGGATAAGAAAGTAAAAATAAAATCTACAATATAGGACAAACTGAATTCATTGAGAAAATATAATAATATAAACTATAAACACATGTTGGTATATAAATAAAGTCACATTTTCTACACAGTATCACATATGGAGGTAATAACACACTTTCAATATATATAGTAGGAAATACAGTAAAATGTTGTATTTAAGGATATGTTCCCTCGAGATTAATTAGGTCCCTAGTGCAACCTAAAAAAAATAAAAGCATGATATTTCTTATGACCCAGAAAAATAAAATTATAGACTGAAAATAATTAATAAGCTCACAATAAATAAATAAGAAAACAATCTATAGTACTGCCACTGTGTCCCTTTAAAGTAAATGAAAGTGTTGATAAGCCGTGGACACACTTGCCGAATCAATTGGCCGAATTGCTGCTGAATTCATTTGGCCACATGAGTGGACACACTAGACAGTCCTTTGCCTGATTCACCAGTCGATTGCATCACCTTTCATGTCACATGATTAAACATGGCAGTGACCATGTCTTCAAATAATCATGTGACTTCTCGATATGAGTGATGATTGGCTACTGAATTCTACAATCTGGCGAAGTGGACACCCTCAGTGAATTTTGGCACTGATTGATTCAGCTGAATCATTCGGCTAGTGTGTCCACTGCTTTACTGACACGCAATGAAAATGTTAACAGAACACAGTTTTTATGGGAAACAATCACTGGTTTATTCTAAAAGCACGACGTTTCAACAAGTATCCTCTTATCGTTATCAATGGATGATTCTAAATCTTGTTTGAGAGATACATTAATCTTGCGATTCTGAATGTGACAACATTAGACCATGATGATAGCTGTGACAACATTAGACCATGATGATAGCACATGAGAATCATGTTTTCATGATCACATTAAAGCACCACAGGTCAATTGAATTTGACAGAATGGAATGTTGAAAATCATAATTTTATGGTGCAGACATGGAGTACAAATGTTTCTTTTAAAAAGCTAGGTTCAGTACAACTCCTACATTTAGAAGACACAATGATATGCCCAGGTTGACACCTGAACACTGTGAATGTGCCATTGCATTAAATCAAGTTGGTATGAGTACCAGAGCGACTGGAAGCAGCATAGCAAGGATAGTGGAGAAGGATACAAGTTGCCATTCAGGGCTCATCTCCTCTATATCTTGACATTTCTTCACATATTTTGCTTCTAGTGATAGACGGCATTGGACGTCTGATTTTTACCCCTTGTACCTACATTTCACTGTAAAGTTATAGTTTCCAAGGGGTTTTGTTGATTGTCAGCTGCATTCAGTCAATTCATTGGTGTGTTTTCATTGCATCTCAGTGTATAATATATACCAATACTAGTAGTAATATTTTATGGCAATTAAATATAAATCATACAAATTACTTCACATAAATAGATATGCTTCAATTGACAGTAACAGACATTAACATATTTATTTTTAACAAAAGCTTATTACACAAATATTGCAATTCTTAAAGAAAATACTAGTCGGTCAGTCCTTTTTCTCTCATAGTCCACTGCAACTGTACTTCAATCAAATGAAGAGAGAGAAATAGAGTTTAATGTGGACTATACACAAACTAGGTCATTTCGGGGCTAATGTATAGTTCAATTTTATTCAATGATTTCCTTGCACATAGGGGTCTTAAGCAGTTGGAGGAAACTGGAGGATCCGGAGAAAACCCATGAGATTCAACAGGTGTCCCTACTTCTCGATCACATGAAACTAGCAAAATTAACCCATTATATATTCATTTTCAATCTGGTGAGACTAGATAAAGGTGTGAAATTCCCTTTAACATTAAATCATGATATTTACATATTTAGGACATACAGCATAATATATTAAAATCTACAAAAAATGTATATCACTATAATTATAAATGAAAGACTAGGCAAACAGTGAACACAATAAATACATAGAGATATTCTTAAATGGCATCATCTTTTAACTCTTACTTGATGAATAAATAATGTGAAATGAACATTGAAAGAGGTCAAAACAAGAGAAATACAGTTTCCACTGAATAAATACTTAATATAAAGGAATAAGAAAAAAGGATGAGTTGTTTATAGCTAACATGGTGTATGACATGTCAAACCCACATAAAAATTGTGGCTACATGCTGAGACAGTCAATTATTCTACATTTTAAATGTATTTAATAAACAATTTTAATCTTAAAAATTGACAAGATTTATCATTAACTAGAATTCATTGCTCTTCTTTTCAATATTATTGATAAGCTTACAATTCAGATCAATTCTATAGATCTGAAAGTCTTATAAAATGTGAGCAGTTTCTGAATTTGAGACTTCATCTGCATTGATTTGTTGATAAGACATATAGACAGCATTTTCACGCATAGCTTTAATTTTACGTCGGTAGCTTATTACCACCAAACAAACCCCAATTAATATTCCTATTAACAATATAGAACCTGTCAGTATACCAATCAATATGAATTTAGGACCATGACTGTGCTTTTGGTCAGAATTATCAACAGTGTTGGGTTCAGGTGGTTCAATTTCTGTTGACATTTGCTGTGGAGGTTTGTTACAGCCATTGTGTAAACAACAACATAATTCCTCTCTTATTTTTCCATTTGTTATCTATAAACAATAAAATAACATAATTAATGTTAATATATAAACATTAGATTTCCGTGTATGAGAGATTGTAAACAAAATTTAAGATCTTTAGTAAACAATTCATGTGCTCCCAATGTACAGCAGTATGTACCAGCCTTCAATCAAATACCAGTACCTCCAAGTTTAACCTAAACAAATTCTGGAAAATTGAAAGTTCATTCATTTTAGGTCAACAAAGGGCTATAATTCAGTAATAAATTAATGGATTCCCACAAAACCCACAACAGCATATGTACCCTCGATCAAATATCTGAAAACAATTTCTCGAAACAGAATTTTTATGGATTTTAAGAGCCATATTGGCATACGGCAGGACTAACTGTACATGTAGATTTATTTTGGAATATAGTTTGGCTTATAATGTCTCCTACCATCAGACATTACACCCTTTTATTCATAGATTTGATTTAATTAATTTATAAAAATCCAGATTTAGTCCTTCAACAATCCACTAAGAACAAATAAATAGAACTAACTACATGTAAGAAAAGACACTTACATTTTTGCAAATACTGAATGATTTACTGAAATGAGTTATATCATTTGTGATACATCGATTTCTTTCGCAATAATATGACCTAGTTACATTCGTACCACTGGTGATGGTAGAACTGGCACACCAATCTTCAGGATTTGTACATGGTAGTTTTGTATCTGTTAATACGAAATGACAAAATAAGATGCATTATTTTTTAGATATAAATTGTTGCACTTCAATGTGATTAACATAAAACTACAGTTAGTGCCATGAGACATGATCCAGTTTATTGTTAATAAGAATCTTTGAAAACAGGACATTTGATCATTGAGCTAAAAATATCCAAAGTAAAATGTTGTAATGTATGCTTACTTGTTATCTTGCCTGTATTGCCACTAGTCTGATAACATAACTGTTGATTAGGTGGTACCCCTGGCATTAATGATAATTTATTACAATTATCAGAATCAGAACAACAATACAAACTGCCTTCAATACCATTCATTGATTTCTAAATAGAAAATACACAACTACATAAATTAAGATAGCCATGCAAAGCAGTAGCTTTGTCTCAACTGCAGCTTACATAAAAGGTAACTTGGATGTTGAGCAAATTTGATAAGGATCTAGGATCCTTGGAAAAATCTAATATCTAGGGTTCATCCTCTTATGACCCCACTGCTTCCAACTAATTTGGAAAAAGAAATCTGTTAAAACCTATAGCCTCTATTGCGTTCACAAGATTTTCCGCAAAGGAGGGATAGCTCAGGAACACAATGCTGCCGATATGAATATCGATGACCCAAATGCTTCTAGCCATATATGAAAAAGATCCATTAAAAGCTATAACCTATATCGCGTTCACAAGGTTTTTTGGGGAAAAGGGCATAACTCACAAGATCTTTGGCAAAGGGGGGATAGCTCAGGAACGCAATGCTGCAGATATGAATATCGATTACCCAAATGCTTCTAGCCAAATATGAAAAAGATCATTAAAAACTATAGCCTTTATCATGTTCACAAGTTTTTATTTTGAAAAGGGGATTGAAAGTCACAGAACGCTGAATGGGCTATCAATTGGGTTCATCTAGCCAAATATGAAAAAGATCCATTAAAAACTATAGACTTTATCGCATTCACAGAGTGTTCTTTTTTTAAAAGGGGGCATAACTTCGGAGTGGAAAGTCGCAGAATGCTGAATATCTATAGGGTTTATCATCTCATGACCCCTTAACCTGTATCATGTTCACAATGTTTTGCAAAGGGGCATAACTCTGGAATGTAAAGTCGCTTGTAGATATATCCTGTTCATTCACAGTGAGTTGCTCTATGAAATTTAGGGGACATTTATACTCCAATTGATGCAACTTTTCCCAGACAATCAGAATCCAAGAAATTTCCATATTTGGCTATAATAAATTCTTAAGGTAGGCAAAAATATAATAATGCTAATAAATTACTCACTTTACTGAAATATCCATCACTTTTACAAATACCAGTATGATCACAAGAGAAATTTGCTTTAGGCATGGTGTTTGTCATTAACATATGAGTTTCTTTACCAAGTATAACATTGACAAAGTATTGGAATATAAGACAGAAACGCTTGGTATCTTCCTGTTTTGGGCCTTCTGTAGTCTTAGAACCCATAATTGAGTGATTACCATTTTTCAAAGCAATCCCTTCAGATAGATGTCTTTTTCCGGTTAAACAATCTTCATTATAGGGCTGTCTTGCTGTGTCAATATCACCTTGGTAACAAAACTGTACTCCTTTACAACTGGAATCACACAAAAATAAAAATTCATAATAATCACTCACTAAATTAAAATTTCAAAAAAATCATTCACTAATATAAAATTTCATAAGAATCAATCACTAAAATAAAGTTTCATAAGCTTTAGAACAGGAATTGTCATATTTTCATTAATACATGTATCTTTTGATGGACAACTTATTTAGCCATGGAAATAATATTTATGTTTTATTGTCCCCACCCTTCGAAGAAAGCAGGGGACTATTAAAATGGGTTCGTCCGTCTGTCTGTCTGTCTGTCCGTCACACTTTTTGGGACACAATAACTCTCTTTCTAATTGAGCTAGAATGTTCAAACTTGGGGAAGGTATTTATTAGGTCAATGCATTGATGGAGTTCGAAGATGAGCATTTTCTGCTTAGGGTAAGCATGCTTAGGGTAAGCAGAGATAAGCAGTTTGATTGCCGGATGCTTTGGGACACGATAACTTTAGTTCTAATTAAGTGAGAGTGATGAAACTTGGTGTATAGTTTCATTACATCAATACCTTGGCTAAGTTCGATAATGAGAATTTTCTTATTAGGCTAAGGAGCAATAAGCATTTTGATTAGTCAAGACTTTGGAACATAACAACTCTGCTTCTAATTGAGGTAGAATTTTTAAACTTGATGTAGATGTTCGTCTTGACCGAGTTCAATGATTAACATATCGAGGTAAAGCTAAGCAGAGATAAGCAATTTCCTTTGTCGTTGCTTTGGGACAAGATAACTTTGATTCTATCTGATAGAGAGTGATGAAACTTAGTGTATAGTTGATAATCAGTATGATTGCTTGATACTTTTGAAAAAAATAAATGTGCGATTAATATGTGTCATCTATTTATTTTGGGATTTCGGCAGGGGACATCAGCCTCACTGTTGGCTTGTTTTAGAAGCCTAGAAATTTTAAAGCTACTGTGTGACTGAAGCGTCTTTAATTTTAAACAGATTTCTTCGATTGTGAACAAACTACTTAATATTGGTTATTAAAAACTTGCCTATTTGTTTGAAATCACCTCCGGTTATATAAAATCCAGTGTTCAATTAAATATCCCAACAAATGAAAAAGTTCTCTCTTAAAAAGTTGAGGTTTTTGCTTGTATTATCGACAGAGTTCATCAAACATTGCACATGTCACGTGATGAGCGAAACCACCAGAAGAGTTGAAGGGGGGAAAAAGTTAACAAATTTTGATAACCACATGTGTTTCAATCAAAACAATGCACTATCTTTTCGATCAATTGAGTCTGGGCAGCAAAAATATCAACTGAAGACAATGGCATTGGAGATGAATTCAGAAACAATTGATTTTGATTATCAGTTTATTAAATTTTATTCACAATGATATATCACCGATTAAACGGATACTCGTAAATATAATGATGCTTTTCACATCATCATAATTGTAAATTCCCATAAATTAATTTACATCCCTGTTTGGCAACTTTGTGGTTAAAATTTTCGGAAATTAATTGTGTAACGGGAATACACAATTATAAAATTCTAAACAGTTATTGCATAAACAGAAATATTCGAAGAGGAATGAATATATCTGCTGATAATTAAACTGATGGGCGGTATGATTTGTTCATACTGGGTCTGAGAGTAATAGCTTATTCGTACAAAAAATTTTAATTGTTGTTAAAGAGCCACACACCATTACGACAGACACGCCTTGCTCCTTTTTTGTATTTCTCGATGTCAAAGTTTGTGAGGAGTTCAATTTTGTAAAAGAGAACATTTTTATTCGTTGGGATTTTAAATGTACAATGGATCTTATTTAACCTGAGGTGATTTCAAACACACAGGCAAGTTTTTAATAACCATAATTAAGTAGCTTGTTCATAATCGAAGATGGTTTCAAATCCCCGGTTGTACGTGACAAGGAGTAGGGTCGCCTGTCCAACCTCATGGGTTTTCTCCGGGTCCTCCGGTTTCCTCCCACTGCTAAAGACCCCTACGCACAAGCGAATTATGTAAATAAAATTGAACCATATATTAGTCCCGAAATGACCTAGTTTGTGTCGAGTGGACGTTAAACCCCATTTCTCTCTCCCTCTCTCATAATCGAAGAAATTTGTTTAAATTTGAGATGGTTTATACAGTAGCTTCACACACAATGTCTGTCACTGAAACCAACAACAAACGTAAGAAAATGTGTATAATTAGCCAATTATAATAGAAAAATCCATGCTAAATGAAATTTTCATAAGTCTGCTTTTAAAGATAGGCGATTGAAACATTGACTGCACGTTTTGGTCACTTTGCGTCTGTACTCAACTGAGATGATCCATTAGTTCCTTTCGACAATGTCCACTGACAGTTCCTACCGGGCCCTATATGCTGCAATATGAAAATACCGCTCTTCCCCACCTCTGTTCTAAGGCTATTTTGGAATCCTTACTTGCTATTTTTCACCTTGATTCTACTTTATTCGCCAAAGGAATCATTTCTTGCCACAGTTATAATGATTCAACAAAATTTTCAGTTGAGGCAAGAAATAATTCCTTTTGCGAATAAAGTAGAAACAAGGTGACAAATAGTAGGTGATTCCAAAATAGCCTTAGAACAGAGGTGGAGAAGAGCGGTATTTTCATATTGCAGCATATAGGGCCCGGTAGGCACTGTTAGTTCAGAGTCAGAGACAGTTCCTAATGGAACTAGTGATCTGTATGTCTTTCAAAGATCCCGCTCACTCCTAGATAACAAACCTCATCTCTCAACCCTCTGTGTTTCTAGATAAGAGATGGTGCTATATAGTTCCATGTAGCAAAGCCCAACGCAAATCACATCGAGCCTCAGTAAGCAAAACTGACAATATTTTTAATCAAAACAACGCTTGATTATTGTTATTTATAATATTTCTGCCACACCCAACAACAATTAAGCATATAATCCTACCTGAAACGGGTACAAATCCACTCTTTTTAAATCAAAGCGACAGTAGATTGCTTTTTCCGACATTTTAAATTTACGTCTGTAACACATAGGCGGGGCCTCATGTGCAATAGCCAATCAAAGTACTAATCTGATCAGAATTGCGCAGTAGTAATACGCCGTAATTATGAACGCCGTAATTATGAACGCCCGAATTAATTTTGATAAAAACAACGCTTGATTTTTTTTATTGTTAATTTGCTGATAAATGAATGTTGTTTCAGTAGATTGGACTGCGTATGTGTAAAGTACTAATAGTATATAATTAACTTATTTTTAAGATGGTACATGCATTAATAAAGAAATTGAGTTTGCCACTTGGAACTAAAGGCATTCAATCGTAGCTAAAAACAAGCACATCGCAGTATATCTCAGCGTTTTTAGTTACGTTCTCGTAGCTAGTAATGTATCATGTATATCTCAACGTTTTTACTTTTAGCTATACGTTCTCGTAGCTAGCTCACTCCCTGATACTGGACTGAATGACAACTGTTCATTTGATAAATCTGTATTTCAATGTAAATAAATTTTTAATATAGAGCGAAGCTCTAAAGCATCGCGCGAAGCGCGGTGCTTGAGCAAAGCTCTTTTCCGGTAACACAGGAGCGGAACTGAAATTGTCACCCACAGACTGTTGATTAAAAAAAAATTCAGACTGGAACCGGATACACTGGGCAAAACAGGCAATGCGCATGTCAACTTACCAAATCTCGCCCAAGCGAGATTACGCGCCTCATAGAACTATTTCTATGACGCATCTAATCAATGACGTCACATATTTTTGATGTCAATGAAAATAATTCTCACACTTTCTTATTCTTTTTTTAAAAACAAAATTAATGTATACAATTTAGATCTAAATGAAAATCAATTTGGAAAAACTAAATTATTTAACATTTTTTGTATCACTTGAGAAAATTAATTATGAAGGTTTTATATTTGACAATAATCAGCTTCGCTCTACTCAGGCAATGCCTGTTACATATTATTTTCACCTATTAATTGGAAATGACGTTGTCAAAAACAAAATTAATATTTTGTTTACAAACAACACTTTTCCTTGGTCATCCATTTTGTGTAAGCTACTCTATTTTTTTATAATATAATATAATACGAAAGGAAATACACCGAGAAAAAAATAAAAGTGCACAGAAATGTGTTATTTACACGTTTTTAGATTTAGATGGTAAATAATTTAAATTACACGGTTATATTAAGAAAATAATGACTTTGTTGTCAAATTTCATGTGTTTTGCGTTTGCTTTTATAATTTGAAATATGACAGAAACATTAATTGAGGAGACAATTCTCTTGGACAACCCCTCTCTCAAATTAACACTAAGCTGGGAGTAGTAGTAAATGCGGGAGAACCGCAATGAACAGAGATAACCAACCTTAAAATACAGATGTGACGTTACCCTTTCATCTTTGCGTACCAATATTTCCAAGGGGTCGCGTTCCACTCGTACGTTATTGAAATCATAGAAATATATAAATATATATTTCTATGATTGAAATAATATAAGAATCGCGTGACAATTTAATCGAATGCGCGTGAGGGATAGTGTCTGTATTTTAAGTGGTTTAATGGTCTCGACTAAGACATTTTTGCGTAATATATTTAATTAAACACTCGGAATAACGTCCTCGTGCAGTATCAATTTATAACTTAATGTTTTGTTCTCGACCATTAAACCACAGGAACCCATTACATGGGCTGAGGATTAACTGGATCTATGTCCACTTTTTGTCAAACTGAGAAAAATGGGTGTGAAGTTTTGCATCGCTGTATTTTGAAACTCATTGAATTTTTACCAAATTTTCAATGTTGTGGAAGCTGACAATATAAGCAGCTGGCAGGGCGTGTTGTGCTTTTTAATGCAGTGGTATCCGATCTGGTCAAACCGAAATACGATAAATGGAGATAGGACTTTGTGACTTACAAAATTTTATGAATTTGTCAGGCACAAAGTTCTATCTATAGGAGATAGAACTTTGTGCCTCAAGACGGTCCGAATTACATAGTTCTATATCCAGCCTCATTGTTTAAAAAAAAACCCTACCCGTAAACTGGGGCAACTCTAGCCCAGGGATTACATTGTCACAGGTTAAGAATCCTTATATTTGTGTAAAACATATTCAGCCTATGCCAAAGTAACCCCTTAGGTCTAAAGTTACTCTTGTTTACAGGAGAACAAAATGGGTTTAATTCATGAAAATTACTATTGAAATCCATGCTACATTTTCGCCTGACGAAGATTAACCATGAATGTCAATTTATTGAATAGCTACAAAAATATGATTTCGGAAAAAAGTAACACATAACACTCTGAAGCATTAAACATAACAAAAAGCCTTTTCCGGCCCAAAATTTAACGAAGAGAAAGCATTGTCCACTGATTGGACAGGTAACCTCACTCTTAGCTTACCGCCAAGGACATGTACATTTGATAAAAATCATAAATATATTACACTGTAATAAGCCTATGATGGTATAGGGAGCCACGGTGGCCAAGTGGGTAAGGCGCTGGCTCGCTAGTCTGGAGGAAGCGGCTGTCTAGTCGTTCGGATGGGACGAAAAACCGAGTTCCCGTATGTACGTAAAAGATCCCTTGGGCCTTGATGTCAACTAGTTCCATCTCCATCATTATGCACTGAACTACTGTGTACGATCAATCAAAATAAAAATAGGGTTTCAACAAAACATTAGGCCTGAGCTCTCTTAAATTGCCTAACAATCTACCTTTCTAACAGATTAAGAATTTCATTCTGGGACAATATTCTGAGGGCCTTACGGCGAGTTTTCTGCTCTAGAAATACAGCCATGCTGGTTTCTCTTTCGGCCATTTTGTCAAAAGACCACATGACACCATACCCAGGAATTATATTGGTGAAAGTGGACATAGAACTTTGTGAGGGGGAATGGATTGAAATTTAAACAAAGGCCTATGTGTTTTTTGGCAATTTAACCTAGAGGGCGCTTCTGAATTAAATCATGCTCACAGTACATAGCACCTGTTGATTCAAAGAGTTTTTATACAAATATCTCATTTTTAGTGAAAAGTGGACATAGAACCAGTTAATCCTCAGCCCACGATTATACAAACCCCAAGACACATCACAACACACTCCACACTGCAAGAAACAAACCATGCTTGATATAAATAAGTAAAAATGTTTTTTTGGTTTTTTTATGTACATTTTTTGCATTTATTGCAGGTGTGATCAAACTCCACCACAAGAATGCGATGGAAAATACAGCTTCGGGAGAGGGAACAGGGAGAGGGTGATATTGACATACTATAGATGAATAAATTTTATAATTGAAGATTTTGCTTTTGTTTGTGCTGCATGCATCCTAAGTTCTACCATCTAGAGTACAAAATCATGGAACGTGGAAGAAAGTCTTGACTGTTTCTGCTGGAGAGACTTTAAGAAGGGGAGAGAAAGAGAGAAATGGGTTTTAACTCCATTTAACAAAAACTGGGTCATTTCGGGACTAACAAATGGTTCAACCCTATTTGAATAATTCGCTTGTGCGTAGGGTTCTTAAGCAGCGGGAGGAAAGGAACCGGAGAAAACCGACGAGGTTGGACAGGCGACCCTACTTCTTGTCACGTACAAGCGGGCGTTCAAAACCACACCACTTGACTCAATGACAGACCATATGATTTAACGGGTCGCATACTCAACCAACCAAACACCCTCTTTAAGAAGGGATAGGTCAGGGAATAAATGTATGGTTTCAGGTTGCCATCTTTGGTCCACATCTGGCATGGCATGATTTTCATGCGTGGGACATATTTAGACCAGGCACGGGCCAGTTGTGCCATCTCTGGCGGCTGGCCTACATGTGGCATGTCATATCTTTGCCAGATGTTAGCCGGGTCTGGCCCATACAATGCGGGAGTGTGCAATAGCGACTGTGGGTCAGATATGGCTCCGACTGGGCCACGTCCGTCCAGATATGCCATTTGTGGTATGCCTCCGACCCAATCATTTTACCAGAATGATGTTGCCAGATATGGGCCGTGTTTGTGTCAAATATGATGTGTTCTGGGTAGGGATATACTGTAACAGCAAAATCGGTTCAAAAATATCCGGGGCTTTACCCCCTGGACTGACCCGTTATGAACCTACGACGCTTCCTATTCGCGTCTGGTTTATTCACAAAATTCAGACCTGCTGTTTGGTCTGTATTTACTTGCTGAGGAAACTACTACACCTACAAATCATCACGCCCCCCCCCCCCCCACTTCCCCCATTGCTGTGACAGGTTTATTAGCTGTCCTTTCCGCCATTTGTGGGTGTTTTGATACTCTTCAACCTTTACCTCATCTTGTTTTAGCTATGTTCTTTCCTTCTTCCTCAAAATTGACGAGGCGAAAGTCTGTTAAATTGTCAGCTTCAGGTCATATCAAACTTTTTCTGTCGATTATACAAATAAATTAGGCTTTTTAAGGCTGGGGTTCTGTCGATATGCAATATGTATAGAATGATAAACTATTTATACTAAACAGTGCAAACCATTTAAAAATATAAACAGAAAAAAACCCAAACAACAATAAAAAAACCCACAACAATAACCCCCTACCCCAAACAAATAAATAAAACCAGCAGTTTACTTAATTATAAAAGCTACATTATCAGTTCTTGTCATATTCAGGTTGAAAGTACTTTCTAAATAGTCAGGAGATATAGCTACTGGAGAATAATAGTTATTGATATGTGCTGAAATGTTTTCCTTTTATTTCGTACCTGGTCATAAATTTTCGCTTCCACGAAACTATCGTCAATCCCAAAATTTGGAGAGACCAATAGAATATGCCAAAGACTGGTTAATCGGATATTATGCAGGGGAGGCAATTCACGCGTGTAAACACGAGGATGCTTTAAAACTATGTTTCGTGTTTTTAGAAGTTAAAAACAGGATTGATTCTTTATTGAAATTACATACACTCCACAACATTTATCATGGCAGAAAAAGGAATATCTGACGCATCATCTTCAGAGAATGAGAGTACTGAGTGTTCAGAAAACGAAACTAAAGACTGTAAAGAAGACCAAACGGTATACTACTAGTTAAAAAAGTGTAATTAATGATATGGTCGATGGATTGCCATAATAAGAGAGTATATTTTAGTACCGGTATTATTATAATGATACATGTAATCTTCAGTTTCATTGAACTATAATTAAGATGATAAATTTTTTTTTAAAATAGTTAAAAAAGTGTAATTAATGATATGGTCGATGGATTGCCATAAGAGAGTATATTTTAGTACCGGTATTATTATAATGATACATGTAATCTTCAGTTTCATTGAACTATAATTAAGATGATAAAATTTTTTTTAAAAAAATTGAAATTTCTACACACAATCAATGAACAAGCGATTGTTATTGTTATTATTCATTTTCCCGGCATACCTAGATAACAAACCTTATCTCTTGTTTCGAGATAAGAGATGATGCTATTTATTACCTTCAATGTAGCGCATGCGGGAGCGATTCACACCCGGCATTTGTAAACAAAATTGACAATATTTTTAATCAAAACAACGATTAAATTGGTTATTGTTATTTATAATATTTCTGCCACACCCAACTACAATTAAGCATATAATCCTACCTGAAACGGGTACAAATCCCCTCTTTTTAAATCAAAGCGACAGTAGATTGCTTTTTTCCGACATTTTAAATTTACGTCTGTAACACATAAAGGCAGGGCCTCGTGTGCAATAGCCAATCAAAGTACCCATCTGATCAGAGTTGCGCAGTAGTAATACGGCGTAATTATGAATGTCTGAATCAATTTTGATAAAAGCAACGCTTGAATCCTTGACGAAAAAGTATCGCCCCCCTCCCCCCAGTCAATTTTACTGGGCAATTTTTACTGCTAAACAGTAGCGTGCCAGTCTTTGTGAACACCTGAACAATGGAAAGGAATATTTTAGTGAGACAATAAGACCTTGCTTACCTCGCTAGAGTCAGTATGTGCGACACAGAATGCTGTTAAAAATACGTCCCCTTCTTAAAAATATACGTAACTCGGCCATATATGATAAACGAAATTTAGGTAAGCAGGTGATACAAAATTGGAACTAACACACAACCGTTCAGCAGTAAAAAGTTGCCAAGTAAAATTGACTGAGACCAGTGACGTTAAGAGCTGAACTAGGCTATCAAAACAGATATTTATAGTCATTATATCTAACATTCCACAGATTTACATGTACAAAATAGGTCTTTATTTAATACTTTTCAGCATTGAAATAGCAAAAACAGTTAGGAACTGCAGGTAGACATTTGGTCTACCGGTATATCTTTCATTGTTTGTCAACCTGAATATGTTCTTTTCAGAAAGAAGAAAATAAAGTAAATAAAAATGAAAAGCAAAATGATTATTCCCATCCTGTTTATAAAAATATTTCCCAGTTTAATGGTGAAGTTAACAGAATGAAAAGGCCAGAGATAATCAGAAGATTAACTAAATATAACATGGATACAAAGTAAGTTTCTAAATCAAATTGATTGATAAAAACATGCTTTTCTTATTTTCCATTCTTGGAAACCATTCTCTCTGATAGTGAATTTGTTGGAAGTTGTTCCTGTTAAATTCTGCCCTGGAAGTGGTATCTTATGGGCAACTGGGCATGACACCTATCTTTGAGTAATATTTCATTGTATTACATGTAGATGTAGTCATCTTTGTGTTTCTTTTTAGTGGAACAACAGAAATATTGAAAAGACGATTGAAGAATTGTTATAAGAAAAGAAAGTTAAATGATGTCAGTATATCAGATTCTAATGCGTCTAAATTTGATTATATAGTTGTTATAGATTATGAAGCAACATGTGAAGCTGATGTCTTCAACTATAGACATGAAATTATTGAATTTCCAGCTATTTTAGTTAATGTGCCTAATGGTGAATTAGTAAGTACATACAGTAAATTAATATCCTACTATTAGTACTATAATTAAATAGAACACTGAAATCATGACTGGAATGTCCCTGGTTTGAATCCTTTGCATAAAAATCATCAGGATTTTTCAAGAAATTTCTTTTTACGGTTTTAACAGTGCATATAAAATTTTAGCTATTTAAACAAGTCTACTCCCTTAAATTACTGTAAATCTGATTGAAATCAGATGTCAATTTTTTTTCGCTTTAATTATGATGTACAATGACATTTTCACATATTTCCTTTGATGTCGGCTTTCAGATCACGTAATTGACCAATAAATTATCTGTATGTGATTTTTGGGACTACAATTCCGCATGGGAATGATGGCCTCTGGCAACAAATCGAGCATGGCATAGCTGATAAAATCTTTTTGTTTCTTGTAGCAAACTTCAAAGTTAGACAATAAATTAAATATGATGATTAATATCTCTCGTAATCAGCCAATTTGAATTACTTTCCATGTAGTGTATATAAGGATTTCAGCTAATTGTCTGTTCGGCTGTAAATATAGCACACCATCTGTGTGAATATGCTATTAATAGACAGTTGGTTAGATTACAATGTAATAATCCAGAAAAAACCCTATTGTAATCTAATTTTAAAGTAGTATGAGGATTATCAATTTAGTCTAAAAATAACCAGGGTGAGAGATTTGTCTAAATATGAAAGTAATAGGAAGACTTAGATATGCAATAATTGTGTATTGGTTTTGTATCTAAACAGGTAGATGAGTTTCGCTCATATTGTAAACCAATAGAAAATCCTAAGTTAACCAAATTCTGTACAGAACTTACTGGTATTACACAGGTCATTATTTTCTCTTTATCTTTAATCATTTATTTTCACACCAAATACTTGTATCTATTATTAGTACAGGAAGAGTCATAATAAAAAAATATGAGTTGAAAATGCCACTGTCTGGTCTCTATCATTATATCATTTGACCCTAGTAAAACAAAGTGTATGGTAGTCTAAACTATAACCATTGTCAAACTGTTCAGTTTTTACCTAAGCCTCTGATTCGTACATGGTATTTGACAATTATGTTATGTTTCTAATTCAGTATTTATTTTATATTCCTTGAGATGTTTATAGACAGTACTATCTAAAATATCAAGTTAATGGCAATACTACTTTAAAAAATATAATTAATCCCAAAGTCAATGTCCGAATAAATTAGCATTCCAGAAGTAATAAAACAGTATATTATACCACTTTACACTAGGACAAAGTAGATACAGCTGAAGAATTTCCTGTAGTATTACAGAAATTTGAAGAATGGTTAAAGTCTCATCGTCTTGGTGGTAAAAGAGGTTTTAAATTTGCAGTAGCCACTGATGGGTAAGTTTTTGTGCTTAACAATACATGACTCAAATGTTTTGTGCAATAAAGGTAAATATTTTGCCACATCAGTGTCTGCATCTTTAAACATGACTAGCCTTAACAGAAATGGTGTTATGTATGATTGTATGTATCAGTAAACTGAAAATTCTTGTTAAAGATGCATTCTGCATTTTTTGGTGTCTAATGTTATATGAACTATTATTTAGACATTTATTCACATGACAAACCTATAATGAACTCTCTAGATCATCTCAAGGCTGAGATTTAAATGGATTAGAATTCACGCAAGATTTAAAAATTTAACAAAAAAACACTTATAAACTGAGCTCAAAATAAAGTAATTTGATGAAATTTTCAATATATTTATTTTTCATAATCCATTTTGAACTATTATAGAAAGAACAGTCATCTTTTTATTTAAATCTTACATAATGCATCTTTTTATCTAAATCTTACATAATGCATCTTTAAATGTAACTAGTGTATATAATCTTATAGGCCATCATATTGGCCTTATTGTGTGTTGTTAGATTAAGACACATTTGTCAAAAAAAGGTTGGCATGGTCTCTAATTCTGAAATTTCAGTTTGGGACTTTCTTGATATGAGTTAATTTCTTGATCCACACGATCTTGCACTGGTATTGAGTGGACACACACATTAAGCAATCTGTAAATAGTAAAAATTACATCTTATGTTGTAAAAATATTCTTTATATGCTTATATTTCTGTTTCAGACCGTGGGATATGAGGAGGTTTTTATATTATCAGTGTCAAATGTCAGATCTAGTGTTTCCAAAATGGGCAAGAAAGTGGGTGAATTTACGTTCATTATTTGGAAACTTTTATAAACGTGAAAGAGGAAATATAGAAAATATGTTATCTCATTTAGGACTAGTATTTGAAGGTAGACAACACTGTGGTATGGATGATACAAGAAACATTGCTAGAATAGCTCAACATTTAATTAAAGATGGATGTGTAATCCATGTAAATCAGTCATTTTCAGGCAATGATAAGGGACGAATACAAGAAATAAAACCTCAGAAAAATAGTAGGAGTAATGATTTTGAAATACCTGAAATTAAACCTGTGAATATTAAAACTGAAGCTGATAAAGTTAAAGATAAAGAAGTTAGAGAAGCATTACGTAAATTGCAACTGAAAGAAGATGAAGAACTTGTTGCATTTTATAAATCTATAAATCGGTATTAAAGTTTTGAAAAAAAAGATTACCAGTAGTTTCTATATCATTGTTGAATATGGTCTTTGGCCAAATTAATGTCAGTTTGCTCAGTTTGTATAGGCCAATTTGATTGGTTGCTCAAGGTTGCAGGGATTAAAAAAAAGGGTTTAAATGAACAGACATCTAACTAGTTCAACAGTTTAAAGACAAACATAGCCAATATATGTACAAGTCAATAGATGATTCCTATTTGAACAGACTCTGATTATTGAAATATAGGTTACTCGGCAACAAAACGTGCCCATTTTACTGAGAATCTTCATTTGAAAAGAAATAGAATCGATTTAATATCCTACTTTTCTGCACCAACCTGACCAACAAAGTTGGCCATATGCAATGTCTGGACAGCTGCGTTTCCACCTACTCTTTATATAATTCTGCCAGTCACTGTTTCTTCTATGTGAACATCAATGAGTATATGGACGTTCCTTGGTTTTCTTCACTGACAAGATACTTTTTTTTTATCCTTACCCAGCCTTCGGTCCTGCACCACTGGCAGGGGAAACCAGGCTGGAAAACCCAAAGGAACTTTCTAGGCCAAGGCTGGAATCCAACCTGCATCACCATTAACAAGATTCTGCAACATAATCTAGGGCAATAGAGGGTCATTCCTTGTCAAATCACCCAGTGATTCAGTTTGGCTGAAAAAATTTTGGTTTTTGAGATACAGTCCATTTAAATGTGACCAAAATAGGCATGGCTACCAATATTAAAATGACCATAAAAAAAATATTTGACCTTGACACAAAGATTCTAAATTTTCAAATTTTCATACAGATTATCAACAAGAAAATCTCTTTAACAAGCTCTTTATTTAACAAATAACAATACACATACAGTGACTTTTTTAAATTGGGAAAACAAATAAAACAAGCCAACAGTGAGGCTGATGTCCCCCGTCAAATCCCAAAATAATTAGATGACACATTAATTAATCGCACATTTATTTTTTTCAAAAGTATAGAGCAATCAAACTATACACTAAGTTTCATCACTCTCTATCAGATAGAATCAAGATTATGAAACTGATAAGCTCTGCTTAGCTTCAGCTCGAAATGTTAATCATTGAACTCAGTCAAGACATTCACCTAATGAACATCTAAATCAAGTTTAAACATTGTTGTTAAAGTTGTTATGTTCCAAAGAATGAACCTAAGCAGAAAATTCTCACCATCGAACTTAGTCAAGGTAATGATATAATGAATCTATATCCAGAGTTTCATTGCTCTCACTTCATTATAACCAAAGTTATCAAGCCCCAAAGCATCAACCAATCAGATTGCTTATCTCTGCTTACCGTAAGCATACAATGTTCATCATCGAACTTCCATCAAGGCATTCACCTAATGAAAGTCTACACCAAGTCTGAACATTCTACATCAATTAGAATGCGAGTTATTGTGTTCCAATGTCTCGACCAATCAAATTGCTTATCGTTCTGCTTAGCCTGAGCAGAAAATGCTCATTATTGAACTTAGTCAAGGTATTGATGCAATAAAACTATAAACCAAGTTTCATCAATGTCACTTAAAGCGTAAATTGCAAATTTTCTAAGAAAGTCAAAATGTAATTATTTCTATGTCTTTTGCTCAATAGGTTGTCAACTCACAATTATACGATCATAGGTGTCATTCTTACACTTAAGATTCATTTAGACAGGAAATAATAACACAACTACCTCCCAATTACCTCCCTTGTTTTCTATTCTCCACCATGGAGTAGCGATATTCAAACGTTTAAAAAAGAAGAGGAAAATGATATTTTTGCCAATTTCTCAGCTGGCAATAGTGAATTATAGGATTAATAGGATTATTCTTTAACAAGGTAGGACTGTTTATGGATACCATCTATTTTCAGGCTTTATTTTAATAAATTTTAAAAATATAACTTAAAAATTTGCAATTTCCGCTTTAATTAGAACTAAAGTTATCATGTCCCAAAGCATCAAACCAATCAAATTGCTTATCTCTGCTTACCCTAAGCAGAAAATGCTCATCTTCGAAATCCATCAAGGCATTGACCTAATAAACACCTACACCAAGTTTGAACATTCTAGCTCAATTAAAAGGAGAGTTATAGTGTTCCAAAGTCTTGGCCAATCAAATTGCTTATCGCCCTGCTTACCCCAAGCAAAAAATGCTCATTATCAAACTTAGTCAAGGTACTGATGTAATGAAACTACACACCAAGTTTCATCACTCTCACTTAATTCGAACTAAAGTTATCGTGTCCCAAAGCATCAACCAATCAAATTGCTTATCTCTGCTTACCCTAAGCAGAAAATGCTCATGTTCGAACTCCATCAAGGCACTGACCTAATAAACACCTACACCAAGTTTGAACATTCTAGCTCAATTAGAAAGAGTTATTGTGTCCCAAAAAGTGTGACGGACAGGCGGACTGACATACAGACAGACGGACGAACCCATTTTAATAGACAAATATACATAATGTTAAAATAAATTACCCTGGGGACAAATTAATTATTTTTTTTTTGATACATGTATTAATATCAAAATATAACCAGGAATAAAAACAAATGTTTTTAAAGAGATAAGAAACAATCAATTTTCATTTAAAGTTCCAAAAGATTTTGTGGGGAAAGAGTAGCTAGCTTTTGTCAATTTACCTTCAAATAATAAATAAAGGTCAAGCAAAACCCCCATTTGGGATAAAATAATTGTTTTCTTAAATACAACTGTTTAAAGTAAGTTTCAACAGGTTTTCTAATACAGTAGTTTTAGAGACACACTCCACAGTGTTTTGTTTGATTTATGAAATTGTTCAAGTTTGGTAGAAAAAGACATCCATGAATTACCTTAAAGGATTCTGTGAGAAAAATTAGATTGCATGGAATTCAAGGTAGTAAACTGTTTCCATTTTAAAATTATCTAAAAAGTCGCCATACTGAGTCCGAAACGACGTTTGTGCTGAGTCCGAAATGACGCGGGACCGAAATGACGTGCTACCAATTGTCTATGATGAAAACAACACTTCAAGTATTCTCAGATAAAATTGGATCTGATTTCTATCTTTTTACAAAAGTCTAGAACAATAATACATCAATGTCTGTTTTAAAATGTAAACACTAAACTGTGTGATTTATGTATTGTTTAATGGTCAAGAGCTAGACATTAAGTAATATATTGTAACAACAAGAGAACAAGAGGGCCATGGGCCCCGAGTGTTTTGACAATATATTACATACGCAATGTCTTAAACTCGAAACCATTAAACGACTTAAAATACAGACACTCTGCATGTGCTTTTACAGTGAAAATACGTCACGCGAGTCTAATATTTCACTAGTATAAATAATGTATTATTGGCAAGTTGCCATACGATTATTTGAAATAATGGTAAGCCAACATCAATGGGTGACGTCACATCTGTATTTTAAACAAAGTGATTTGAATATCAATGGCTTAAATAAACTATCTCTACTATCAAAGCATGCATTTGGAGATATATTTAGCAATCCAGACGGTTTGCCAATGTCAGGAAAATATTTTGAGCTCAATTCAGACGCAACAAAGGCCTTTAACCAATATTTTTATCAGAACTCACTGCCAGAATCATTTATCTTAAAAATGTGTACTGACAATTCATGATAAGGCTTATAACCCTTAAGTCCCCTATATATTAAGACTGAAAACATAACATGATAACTTCATATGAAGCTATGTTAACCCCTGCCTTATAGTGTTGAAAGGATACATACATGAGTTTTAGATATACAAGTTTTGATTTAATAATCTAGGTAATTACAGATTTGTTAGATAAATAACATTACCATGCTTAACAACCAAATTTAACAGATTAAACTAGTGAATATTACAACAATACAGAACAGTGAATCATGTGTAGGCAAATAGTGTTCTAGGCAACATGTGTTTCAACATTTTGTACACATTTACAGCATAAAAACAGTTATAAGTGATACATCTATTTATAATATACACACTAATATACACTCTAAAATAATAAAACACGAATTTCAATATCATATATTTTTCAACCTCATCATGTAAAACAATAGACTATTATTACATATCACAATTTTAGTACTGACTACTAAATAAAGAATTGACTGGAATTTTTGACAGTCCTTCTCTTTCAGCTTATGTTGACTGTTTTAATGGACCTATAAACAAGAGTAGTGTTACCAAGTCATGTGTAGAGTCGACATACTTGACCAAAATAAACACTGTCACCAGACTCATAACATATAACTATTTTTCTGGGAGCCTCACAGTACCTATAGACAAGGTCTTAATGTAAAATAGCACACGTTGGATGTTCTTTAATTCTAATATACAGTGTTTCTTATATCTTTCCTAAAAAGTTTTTAGAGTTAGGTAATGTAATACAGGTATCAGATGTATGTAAGTATACACCTTGTGATTATCATTAGTTAGTGTAAGACAAGAAATTAATTATGTGTTGTGTAATTAATGTGACCTGAAAGGGGTCAACATATGGCATCAACCAGTCACCCTACTCTTTATTAAAATATGTGGCTTCTTGTAATTTTAGCAAAAGTAAGACACCATTTATTAGATAATGACATCATTTTTATGTTTTCAACTAACTTTTTATAGCGGTGTTATGTTAAATAGCACTACTGATATACAACATAAATACTCCATATATTATTTTATAATAAAGTCTCTGACCATCATTTATCAGGTTGTTTATTCTTTGTGAACTAAAATGTTGGGAATGTTGAATCTTTAAATCGAATATCGGTTCAAAAACGGTTCATTTCAGTTTAGTATGTATTTACAAAGTAATGAACTGAAAATTTGTCAACATTAGATGTCCTCTGCACAATTAAATGAGATATAAGGTCAAAAAACAATCCCCCCCCCCCCCCTGATAATCTTTGCTAAAAACTTTTGATGGACGTCTTTTTAATCCGCTCGGATTATCAATCATTGATATTTTAATTCAACAGCTCCAATAAAACTATGTATTTCCTTATGTTGACCTTAAAACCAAACCTTCTGTTTAAATAATTGATTTAACTGTAAAGAAACTTAACTTTTCGATATGAGTTGTAAGAGTGGTTTGTATGTCAGCAGTTATTTTTCCAGTCAAATTTAGTTTGGTTTATAGGTCCAAAAGCACTTACTATATTGGCACAATTTTCTCAAACATAATGCATGAAGACATTAATTCAAATATAATACAGAACTTTATGGATGCAGTTATGCATTTACCGTAAGTTTCTTTATATTGCACATAATTTACCATTTTAACAAACAAATCAATTATTTTAAGAGTAAAACTTGTATATTCTACAAATTAACATTAATAACAACTTAAATATGAATCAAAATTAAATATTGATCAAAAATTTGTAACAAAGAAACAGTTCTTTTTAATAATGTATGGTCCAATTTTCGCAGTATAATTTTCATCATTCCTCAAATTGATTGCACAGTTAAAAATATACATTATATATCTATTAATATCTGTGTTGAAATTTTATTAACACTCATTTAAAACATTTAAAATCAGATCTATCTGAATTTCATCATCACTTGTTTATCTTTCTACAACATGTAAGGCTAAACCAGCAGCATCAATAACAGGACAAAAACTAAAAGAATATAAACATATGAAGAATCCTTGTAGACATTATTTCACATAACATAATATCAAGTGCAGATACAGGCAAGCAGGGAATTGCAACCCTCAACTACCCAAAAATATATTTAGTGCCTTTTTTTATCCACACATTTTAAAGACAAACATAATTATTTAGTATGGTCCTATGCTAAAGATGATATGGTACTGAGCCCAGGGTCGGATTAACAACAGAGCATGGTGGGGCCCCTTCCATCCATTGTGGGCTTGTGTTGCGGTTGACATCTGAGAGTTCGGTGTAATCCGGCGATGCCATGTCATACTTTCGCCTTGTATCCGTGTTTCTTTTTTTTTTGTTTATTTAGCAGGAAAAGTGTATCAAGAAAATGCATTAAAATCCTCCTTAAGTGCAATATTTTGGTTACAGTTTCTTGTGCTACTTGGAGGTGCAATTAAAGTAACTCTGAACCCATTAATCTCCGAACATAGTTTGTTTTTTGTTTTTTTGCTGCATTGTATTCTTCAATGTTTAGCCCCTGACTATAATTAGTTGAAAGTTGGTGTGTATAATATGTGTAATATTTCACATTATTTACTTACGATATTTCGCCATTCGTCAAAAATCAACTCTGGTTAGTTACTTCGCAGATATGACTAAAGGTCCCCCCTTATTTATCACTGACTGATTTCAAATTAGGCTTGATGTAGTTACATCCACGTGTGTGGAATAATACTGCCTAAGTTCTGGTCATTTGTGTTAGGTTGGGGGCCCCCAACATGCTCAAGGCCCCGGGGCCCAAACAATGGTTAATCCCGCGCTGACTGAGCCAAACCAGGTACCAAGTCAATATTGGTCAATGAATCAAACAAGGAATGTATTAAAATTGATCATTAAATTCTAAAAATCATAAACAGAGTGTGGTGCATATTTCCTGATTACACATTTAGTTTAATGAACTCTGGATTATGAAATTTTCATCAATTGTTAATATCGACTGGAGATACAATAATATCTGCATCATTTATCTCCATTCCTGACAGCAGTAACAAAAATAATGGCACTAAATAATGTATATAGAATTAATAATTTCCACATGTAGTCATAGAGATACTCTCTAAAGACATGGACGGATAATTCTGACTTTACAAAATACTTTACGGTTGTCATTAAAGATCACAGCTATAACACATTACAAAAATAAGTTTCATATTCTGTCATGTACATCATAATATCTTTACAAGATTCGAATGGTAATCACCATTCTCACTTCACTCTAGTCCAAAACCCTCAGCATTGTTAATAGCTTTAAGAAGTTTTTGTTTTAAGACTTTACGACTTTTATAGGGTGGCAGAACAAGTTGATTGAAACATGTATGAGCCATAGGTAACCTGGAATAGACATAAATTACATTCTTTATTTAACAAATAATATAAATAAATTTTACAAACTAATCGTTTTAAATAAAAAATAATCCTCTTTTGTTAAAGCAAAATGTTTCTTTTATTCTGTTAGTGAAAACAATTGTAAATTCCTTCGCTACCAAGTTAGTTTCCACTTTGAAAATATTTTCTTTTGTGCATTTAGAAACAAATAACAATTAAATTATCTTTTTAAATATCTAAATATCTGCCAATATTAAAATTCATATTTCATTCTATTTGTTTTACTTTAGTAACTTTATTATCAAAATTATCTTTTAAATATCTAATCAGTGCTGTGTATTCTTACTACCATAACAAACATTAGTGTGTAGGAATTTTCAACCATATCTCAAAGATAAATATATTTCAAACCATCTTCTATCGATCTTGATATCCAATTTGCTTCCAATGTATAATTAATCATCAGTAGTTGATCAGATGCAAATTCCAAAGCTTATGTTATGATGTCAAGCCCCAAACAGTGGGCCCTGAACACACCACTCTATGGCCACCAGCAGTGTCAACAATTTCATCCTTGCTAACATCAGTGTCACCAATTTTATCCTTGCTAAACCTAACACCAGTGTCAACAATTTTACCCTTGCTAAACCTAAACCTAACATCAGTGTCAACAATTTTATCAGTGTTTCAACAATTTTATCCTTGCTAATACAACCTAAAATATAAATCAACAGAACACATTTGAAACAATGAAATTAATTAAACACTGGAAAATAATTACTTACAGTTCACTTCCATCAACTCTTGTTATTTTAAAATGCATCTCACTCATACCTCCTATAGGTATTCGATCACTACCAGTTGTAAATAATAGTAATTTCTTCTGTAAATCCACTGTCATATTTATTACAAGGTCCCAAAATGTTCTGAAATATATATAGATAAAGAAGATCTTGACAACTATTGGGTCTAGAAATTTGCATTCTTTGTGACAGAGGAAGACTATCTGCAGTTGAAATCCAGTTGCATCTGCAATTGGCTAATCTACAGGTTCACAATACTGGTAATCACAGTTTGAGGTCAGAGCATGGAAATGAAAATGAAATGGGGTTTAACGTCCTACTGTTCTGCTCCTATACTGGGCTAATGAAGACGGGCATACGCCATACAGTGTGCTATGAGGGAAATTTTGCCCGGGCAGCGGCACTATCGCCTACTCTTATATCGAATTCCAACTGCCAAGGGATCTTTTACGTGCATTCTAATGTATACACGGGACCTCGGTTTTTCGTATCATCCGAAGGACTAGACAGCTGTCCTTGTCAGGCCCTCCGTTCTGAACCACTGACAAGGGGAAACCACGTTGGAAAATCAGGATGAACTTTCTCGGCCAATGCAGGGATCAAACACCCGACCTCCAGGCTAGTGAGCCAGCGTCTTAACCACCTAGCCACCGTGGCTCCCGTCAGAGCATGGACCAAATGATGTAATTGAGACTATTGAATGTAAGAAACTTATGGATGTTTGTAAGATATAAAAATTTGTATCTTACTTAATTATTTGATCTGTAGCATTATAACCATCATAAACAGCAACTTTCTGTAATTCAGCTAAATCTATAGTAGGATTACCACATACTAACATTTCTACTTCTTCTGGTCGTAACATCTATAAATACATTAATTACAGCTATTTAATATATAAACATTAGTATTTTTCACTAAAACAGATATTAGAATACTCTAAAGTAAGACCTAGAAGCACAAAGAAAATGATGTGACATAAACTCAGCATTAGATTGCTGAATTTTAACGATTGGTGCTAAAATCCAAAACTTGGGGAACTGCTAAATCTTTAGGCATCCTTCCATCATTCGAATGACTCAAAAAATGAAACATAGAAATAAAAATGATTTATTTTTATGCATTTGCAATGAGGAGATTAAATGTGTTTAATAATAAAGCCTATTATAATAAATTCTACTTACAATAAGTGCATTAGAGGCACATACACTATGAAAACCATGATAAAATGCTTGAAAATGTGGATATACAGCCTTGTTCAGTATCCAATCAACATACAGATTTACATATTCTGAAAAAAGAAAAGAAAATAAACTAAGGTGTGTAAAAGATTGTGTTACATAAAATTAAATAACTTATATAATAATAAAACGTTTCTGTACATTACTGTTAAACTTTAATAATCACCTTTTCTATTTTTAGCAGTAACGTTGACTTTTTCACCATCTGGTTTTAGTGATGTGGTGATAACATTACCCATATCAGTATAAGATGCCTAAAATATAATAAAACAATTCTGTTTTAAGGTCTTGTGAACAAAATATAATGTTTCTCACCAGGGTCGTAACGAGGGGGGGGGGGGGGCGGGAAGTGTTCTCAGGGGTGCTGTAAAATTCACGGGCAACGTTATCTATTGTTTTTATGGTCGACAATTTGTTCACAGTTACAGGCCTGTTTCTCACATACTTAAAGATAGATGACCATGTAATGAAATATATACACTCACAACAGTTAAGTTTGTCCAAGCTTGGTTACTAATTCTTCCAATATCTAGTGATCTAGGGTCATAACTCTTAACAGGAATTATCAGAAATTGTTGAATATCAAAAGGCTTATTCACCTCATGAACATCAACAATGTGGACTTATTCAAAATCATAAAGAAGATGATAACTTTACCACTAAGTGATCAAGGTCCATAACTCCATGACAATAACTATCTCAAAACTATGTAAATCAATAGACATTTTTGTTTCATGATCATACACAATGGATACAACTTTCAAGACAGACAAATGGACATTGTTGACAATATACAGCTACATTTCAATGTGGCAGTATAAAATAAGCAAAGAATATAAATATCCTAATTTATTACTCAACGTTCATATTTCCCTATTAGAATATGTTTTGGTATGGTTTTATAATTATCAACAAACTTATTTCACAACTACAATCAGAAATTTTAGTCTTATCTGATACTTTAGGTGAGAGAGAGAGAGAGAGAAATGGGGTTTGACGTCCACTGGACACAAACAAGGTCATTTCGGGACTAACATATGGTTTAATTTTATTTCAATAATTCGCTTGTGCATATGGGTCTTTATCAGTGGGAGGAAACCGGAAGACCCAGAGAAAACCCACGAGGTTGGACAGGCCACCCTACTCCTTGTCATGTACAACCGGGGATTCGAAACCACACCAATGACAGGCCATATGATACAGCGCGCTAACCATTTGGCCATCCAACACCCCCGATACTTTAGGTACTACCTAGCTTAAATTATATTATGATCAGTTTATAATGGAGTATGACTTACCAGGAATGTAAGACAGAAATCTTCTTCAACATCACCAGAATAATCTAACAAATCTTGTAAACCTTTAGCTACTTCCTATAATATAAATATAGTATTTTTAAGTTAACAGTCTCTGATACCGATCATGCATTTTCGGACAATAGTTTTTCACAGCCTAATTCACATTAAAATGTATGGTACTAATATTGATTATTTAACATCAAATTAAGAAAACAAACAAAAATATCAATCTTAAATAATCACCTGACTAATTAAAAAGAGACCCATTTTACCAACACTAATGGGTACGACTGGCTCGTTTAGAGGATGCTGAACAGCTGAATATTACAATTAATTAATAGCTTGGGTTTAAGTGAATATTTTGTCTTTAGATGTAAGAGCTAACTCAGCATTGTCCCTATCCCCTTTTGAGCCGGTGAATGTGTCAAAATTACAGCCACAGATTTCATTTAAAGTGCTATAACTTGATCAACGACACATCACTAGAACTCATCAATGCATAGAAAAGAACTTCCTGATCTAGATTATCTGTACCTGTTACTGATAGTAACTGTCTAAAAAAAACATGTTAATGAACAACAGCAATAATAAACATCAATATTTACCGGTTGAGCAAGTTTGAGATCTTCCAATGTAAAGGTTGTTACACCAACAGTAGCTCGTGGATTACTAAATGGTACAACAGCAGGATTCAGTAGTTTTTTATAACAAGATGGAGGAAATCGTACATCCAGATTAATACTATTATAAACAGCTAATCCCATTAGCTAACACATATAGTTAAGGTAATGAAATCGGATTTAACATCCTATTTTTCTACACCAACAAGACTAATGAAGTCGTACCATCAGTTTGCTATTAGGTTTTTTTTGTCAAAATAGCAACACTATGGCCTACTCTTTTTTTCGAATTCCAAATGTCAAAGGTTTTTACATATTTGCCTCGTTGGGACCTCGTTTTTTCATACCATCCAAACAACAAGACAATGTTCCTTGTCAGACCCTCCATCCTGCACCACTGGCAAGGAAATGAATTAAAATGAAATGGGGTTTAACGTCCTACTGTTCTGCTCCGAACTGGGCAAATGAAAACTTGGCATACGCCATACAGTGTGCTATGAGGGGAAATTTTGCCCGGACAGCGGCACTATGGCCTACTCTTATATCGAATTCCAAATGTCAAGGGATCCTTTACGTGCACGCCAGTGTGTACACAGGACCTCGTTTTTTTGTATCATCTGAATGCCTAGACAGCTGTCCTTGTCAGGCCCTCCATCCTTCACCACTGACAAGGGGGAACCACGCCGGGAAATCTGGATGAACTTTCTTGGCCTATGCAGGGATCGAACACCCAACCTCCAGACAAGCGAGCCAGTGTCTTACCCACTTAGCCAGCGAGATCCCCCACTGGCAAGGAAAAACCATACTAGAAAACCCTGAGGTATTTTCTCAGTCAATACTGGGATTGACGCCGGAACCTTCTGGTTAGTGAGCCAATGCCTTACTCGTTGGGGCCACCCGTAGAGTTTCTGCAAGATATTGGAGATGCACTGATGGGCAACAGAAGCAAGTGCGAGCAATATTTTAAGTCCACATTAAATGTGGGCATATAAAGTTATGTTCCCAAACTTAACAGCAAGTAGTCATTATTATAAATTTAGAATCAGTTTGAAACAAATGTAGACACTATATCTTTAATCACAATCATATTGACAAAAGGATACAACTCCAACAAGATTAAATTCTTGGTAATTTTCTCTTGGAGATGGATTAAACCAATATACTCCAGATTTTTTATCATATAGAAACATACCTATAATATATAAAATAGTTTAGCAAATAGTTTAGCAACATTGTTGTGAATAATGACTATAATATAGTTATTAAAGCAAGATTAAATTACAAGATAGTTAGCCACGAGTGCCCCCAACAGTCTCTGTACATTCATGCGGGTATTAGATTGTATTTCAAAGTCACAGCTATATATATTGACCAAGGCCCACACAAGTACGCGCCGTAGTCGCGTCAGGAGCGCGGCGAAGGCACGCTAGCGTCCGAGGGGGGGTTTGGGGGATGGGCACTTTCTCTCCCCAAGAAAATTTTGAAAATTGACAACCGCAAACCCATTTTCCAAGCATTTCAGACCAAAGCAGTCTTGTAGTACATTCCGTTTTTTGTGTTGTTTGTCAGTCATTTTTTTCCTATCTTTTCTTTCTCCTGTCCTGTGTCCTGTCCTCTCCTTCCTTTTCTTTCCTCCCCTCTCCTTTCTTTCTCTTTTCTTTTTTCTTTCTCTTTTTTCTTTATAGGCTTAGGCCAGTCCAGCACTGGTTATAGTTGTTTATTACAGTTCATAATAACTGGTGAACACTTTTCAAATTATGTAATAATGAAGTCTGATTTATTAAAACATGTGGTTTTGTTGTTTATTTATAAGATGTATGATAGGTACTATTTGGTAAGCGTGAATGTCTGATTGCAAGTGCGATTGAACTGAATGCATGTGAAATGTGGTGGGGTGATTAAACTGAACACCTCATAGAGATTAATTTTTTATTTATTGATTGCTGCGTGCATGTTTTTTTTTTCTTCAAGTAATCATCAAAGCGATCAGGTGTGACGTTGTGTAATCAGTGATGTGGATTATTACATGGCTTAAAAAATCCATTAGATGAACAAATTATTTACATTAATGTGAATTATAGAAGTACACAGCCGTAAGTCAATCCCAAAAGGATCAAAAGTCCAATTTTGTGACAATCGTTAACATTTATTACAGAGAATTGTTTAATTATGTATACTATTATTTATTACTTTGGTTAATTATAAATATAAATAATTGTTTTATATTTTCTAAAACATGTACTTTTAATTTATAGTTTGTTTAAATACATGTAATGTTAATTTTTAGTTTGTTCCAATATGTGTACCATTATTTTAATACTGATTTAATGTAATTTTATTTCATATCTTGTTTAAGCAAGAATGATAATTTATATTTTGTTTAAAATATAAGCACTTAATGTATATTTTGTTTAAATATAAGTAGTTAATTTATATTTTGTTTAAAGATATGTACAATTATTTAATAGTTATTTGTTTAAACATGTAATGTTAACTTATATCTTGTTTAAGTATAAATAGTTAATTTATATCCTGTTTACCATAAATATATGTACTGATATTTTTCATATCTGTATTGATAATGTATATTTTGTTTAAATATAAGTAGTTAATTTATATTTTGTTTAAATATATGTACTGATATTTTAGAGGTATGTTAATTTATACTTTGTTTAAATATATGTATTTATATTTTGTTTCAACATATGTACTCTTATTTAATATAGTTATCTTATTTCTTGTTTAAACATTCACTCTTATTTTATATGTCTTTTTTAAAACTATTACACAGTACCAAACTTTGAAATTAACATTCTTATAAAGTGTATTCATTATTTTCTCTTGCTTTATAACATTTAACTTTAACATTAAATCTGCATGCAGTGAAGATAAAACATGAATGTAGTACCATGTTCTTGTTGAAAGATCTGTCTAATAAGAAGTAAAAACCATTCTTTAGTTAAACCTCCCATATCTAAACCTGGTTCACCAGTAAACGTTACTTTTAATTTCTTCTTTAAATCATGTTGTTTTCTTGCAATCTAGAAGTAAACGAATAACAATTAGAAGAAATTTTGTCACTAAAATTCTCCACAGCAAAGTGTTATCACTTGCTACATAGTACATAGTACAAGGCATGCAATGACGTCATGCAAGGCACTTTCGGTACACCAGAATATCTTCAGTGAGCACATAGATAATTAAAGTACAAAGTCTGCACTTACATCATGAAATTAGTTTAAAACTTTGCAATAATCTAAATGGTTGGGAGCACTAAGACATTATATATACTTAGCCAATGTTCCGCGCCGATCATCAGCCGAAGATAGATTTTAAGAAAAGATTTTGCATACAAAAATCTGAGACAACCTTCAATCATTATAAAATTGTGTTGCTGCAATCCTCTGTAGCTGTTCTGGTGATGATCTGCAGAAAATTCATTCTTCATGTGCAGAATATAGAGAACATGTTCATACTGTATTCATGGTAAACTGACTGAGGGTTTAGCAAGTTTCAAACCAAATTTAAAGTAAAATCAAAATGAGTTTGACATAAAAGTAAGACATAAATACCTCATTTAATGAATCTGATACCAGATAAGATCGTCTAACATTCAGGTTTAAAAATAACATTCCAATATCTGGTAGCTGTCGACGCTGCACCTTTGCAACCAAACTTTTCTGTCGACAATAAACAGATTTCAAATTAGTTTTACATCTACATCTAATGCTTTATAGTTCAAACATCAAAAGTGTTTTTGTATATTCTAAAGATGCATTATGTAAGATTTAGATAAAGAGCTGGCTTTTCGTGCCACAACAGTTCAAAAATAAACAATGAAAATTAACATATTGAAAATTTCATTCAAATTAGACAAGATGTAGCATAGATTCTTTATTATTGTACGAAAGGTACTTGATAATCAAGACTATGTCTTGATTTTCTATTTTTAAATTAATCATTAAATGGCAAATGTGTTTCAATCCATATAAATCTCTGCCAACCAATGGTTTGGAGAGTTGATAATGGCCTTGTCTTGTGAATAAATGTCTAAATTATAGTTTATATTTGAAGGCAAAAGAAAAGACCTGCAAAAGGAAGATTTAGCTCTTGCATAATGGGACTAACATATGGTTCAATTTTATTTCAATAATTCGTTTGGGCATAGGGGTCTTTAGCAGTGGGAGAAAACCAGAGGACCCGGAGAAAACAACCCATGAGGTTAAACAGACGGCCCTACTCCCTGTCACATACAACAGGGGAATCAAAACCACACCAGTTGACTCAATGACAGACCTGATGATACGCTTAGCTTTAGCGGGAAACATCAATCATTGAACTCAGTCAAGACATTCACCTACTGAACATCTAAAGCAGAGTTGCTATGTTTCAAAGTCTTGACCAATCAAATTGCTTATCGCTCTGCTTACCCTAAGCAGAAAATTCTCATCATTGAACTTAGTCAAGGTATTGATATAATGAATCTATACACAGAATTTCATCGCTCTCACTCAATTCGAACCTAAGTTATCTTGTTCCAAAGTTTCAACCAATCAAATTGATTATCTCTGCTTGGCCTTAATTGAAAATGTGCATGATCGAACTCTGTCAAGGCATTCACCTAACAGACACCTACACCAATTTTGAACAATATTCTCAACCAATCAGACTGAAGTCTCTATTTTGCCTAAGCTGAAAATGATCTCAGCATCAAACTTTGTTAAGGTATTGATGTTATGAAATTATACACAAAGTTTCATCACTATCACTCAATAAGAATCAATGTTGTCGAGCACTAAAGTCACGACCAATCAAATTGCTTATCATTCTGCTTACCCTGAGCAGAAAATGCTCATTATCTAACTTAGTCAAGGTATTGATATAATGAAACTTACACCAAGTTTCATCACTCTCACTTAATTAGAACTAAAGTTGTCGTGCCCCAAAGCATCAACGAATCAAATTGCTTATCTCTGCTTACCCCAAGCAGAAAATGCTCATCTTTGCACTCCATCAAGGCATTCACCTAATAAACACCTACACCAAGTTTGGAACATTCTAGCTCAATTAGAAGGCAAGTTATTGTGTTCCAAAATGTGTGACGGACAGATGGACAGATAGACTAACGGAAAGGCAGGGGGGGAATAAATACTTACTCTTGCCATTATAATCATCTGTTGTTCTGAATCTCTCTGTAATATTGTCCTTTTGGCAGCAATACTTAAAATAAATGGATACTGGCAGAAAGAAAATCTGGAACAAAAAGGTTTATATATATTCATGTTTGGTTGATTTCAATTTTTTTTTAAAGAAAGCTCAAATTCAAATTAAATATATTGATAAAAACAATAACATACCCTGCATGTGAACTAGGATTTTGCCAAGCGTAATATTCTGCCATCAGATCTAGATGATCTAATGTACTGTTATAGAAAGCAGTATGTGGTAGTACTGGTGTTACTGTATTAGCAGCATCTACAACAAATCAAAATATGGTACAACAACTCACGAAACAAATCTATGAAAAAAACATTAATAAATCATACTGGTACTCTAATAGAACAAAGTCTTCATGATTTTAACCATGGGTTTCTACGAAACGAAAGTTACACCTACTAGTTTCTAGCCAGTACAACAATAGACTCGATCATCTAGCTTTGCTTTGACTATTGATGTGACTTTAGACTGTCAGTTTATGGACCAAGACTACAAAAAATAGATTTTAAAAAGAGCATACACCATTCCATGACTCAAGACCAAAGTGGAAATTTCCTTGGACTAAATCAAGATTTTGTACGATTGTTGGTTTATTATAAAAATCAGTATTAAATATATATAATTTTGTCATATAATTTTTACCGATGGAAAAATGTTTATGTGTCTACTAACATATGCTAAGAGGCATGGAACAGATTTCCATTTATATTTTTTTACCAGCATGACTTTTAAAAATGATTAAACAAAATGTTTTCATATTAAGTATTCATAAAATGATAGGCTGCCAGGTACTGAAAATTTTGTATTGTATTAATATAAAGACATAGTCTAGTATTAAACATGCATTATGCAAAAGCAAAATCTGATTATTGCAAGTCTTAATTTAGGTTTCAGATGTTATAGAAATTATAAATTAGATCTTTATTTAAACAACAAGACCAAAATCAACTCTGTAGACCCACGGATGGCTCGGCTACAGCTCGGATTTAAATAGGATTTCACTAATTGATTGAATCAAATAAGGGGTAACCTGATGAAAATACGTCAGTTAGATCGAGGCTAAATGATAGAGTGTACTTAGCGAGGCCGCTGTAAAGCATTTCCGTATGCCATTGAAAACTTTACTTGATAATCGAGACATGTAGGTGGAGTTAACGCCTGTCAATCAAACGATCGGCGAAGGTGAAGACACATTTCGCTACCATTTCTAGGCAAATATTACAACGATGATAACTATGTTCAGAATAAAGTAATTTGACTGAATTTTTCAATATATTCTTCTTTCATCATCTACTTTTGAACTGTTATAGCAAGAATGGCCAACTCTCTATAAAAATCTCCCATAATGTATCTTTAATTAAGACTAGAACTACCTAGCATAACAAGCAAAACGGGCCACTTTAAGTCCCAAGCCTATGTTGACACGGCTGATCAACTCTTTGTTGTCTAATGGTTTAAGTTATCATGTCAACATGTATAGAACAATAAAAACATCTTATCTAATAACAATTGATTGTCAAGTCATGCTGAACAATATATTAACTTTTTATGAAATTCACCTAAAAATAAACAATTCTCTAAAGATTGTAGTATAGCAAGTAAATCGATAATACCAGTAAAATCAATGATAATCACTGAATGTTTTTCTATGGTAGGGTGGTCCACAAGAAGTTTATTCAATAATGAGATCCCCATGAGAGATAAAAAATACCCAACAAATTTCTCTCACTTTTAACTTCATGCAAGAACTAACTCAAACAAGAAATTGCATCAAACAGTTGTCACATGACAGGTGATATGTAACCTTGACTTTCTTATAAAATATGTCTTTCCGTGTAAAGCAGAAATAAGTTGGAATTTATTTATAAAGTAAAACCAATCAAGGATTATTTTCTCTAAAAAAATATCTGGAGTTGGCATGTTTGCATTATTTCAACTGCTACAATAGCTACTATGGTACACAAACATTCAAGTGTTTGTGACATCAAAAAATATTCAATGATTATTCATTATCAGATTATATCTCTTAATTTACGTACTCAGTAAAGCCATGACTTTAGTGGCACTTGGTATCCACCATGAGCATTTAGGTAATGGGGGTAAATCTTGAGGTCGAGGTGGAAATAAGCGTACAGATATAAAATTATGAAGTCTGTCCAGCAAGCCCTTAAATCTGTCTTTCTCTAATCTGCAAAACAAAAATGAACCCCAAAAAATGAACCATGTACAATTTTCAAATAAGTTAGATTGCCAGGCAACAAAATACGTCTGAAGCAGCCAAATCATCCAAAGTATTCCATCCTTAAGGGCTGTCATATTTTTATTCTTTGGAAAGTAATGAGAACATTTACGAGACATCAAAAGCTAATCAAAGGACAGCAAGCCATGAAGCATCTTTGGTATCCCCAATGGTACATGTATCATTTCGTTGATTTTACTAACCAATCAAAAACAATTTACATACCAGTCTCAGCTTCAATATTTACTTTCACTACAATACAGCAGCTTGCATGCTCAATTATGAGAATTGCAAGAAATTTAATATCAAAGAATTGACATGCACACAAAATGATCTCCTAAAATATTTTGACAAAGTTTGCAACAAGTGGTGATCTTAGTTGCAATAAAATGCAAGATACTTCCCTTTGCCCACTGGCTTTCTATTTATGAAATTTTTTTTATTGGTTGATAAAAATAGCACAATTATTGAGGGCGGATAATTACTATGTGTCTCCCAGGGGTTTGTGGAGTAGAACTGAGAGATACCAATGGGGATACCGAGGATGGCCATGAAGTAAGTATCAAAAATAATAAAAAAGATTTACTGATAATCAGATGATAATGCTATCCAGGGTCTATTTTAAGGTTTAATTGACCAAGCATGGTTTTCATTTGGAGGTTAGTGAATAACATTAAATAATACGCATTTAATTGGTCCTTTAAATTTTTTTTATGGCTGTTATGATTAATCTATGCCATTCTGACTAAAAGTCGAGGCTGTCATGAATAAATGTTTAAGGATGGCCAGCGCCATCTGTAAATCTTGATTTGTTTTTTTTTTAAATTAATTAATCAATGAGTATATTTTAGCATAGATTATGATTTGAAAAATTAGATCTTGTCTGAAAAACATAAATGACGATCAGCAACTTCAAATAAACATTGTGTGAATCTGAGCCCAGGTAAAAAGTCTTTTAAAAAAATAACTAAAACTCACTTTTTGATCCAGTGCACCAAGAAATGGTGATCATGATCAGATAATGCGGCTATTTGACGAAGGAGATGGGCAAATATCACATAAGTTGTAGTAGAACGAAACTGAGGATTCTGTAATTTAAAAAAAATTGCATACCGGCAAGCATGTATACATAACCATACGTTACAAATAAAAACTTTTATACAATTTTGAAAATATCTATATAGGTAAATAATATAGGTATCTATCTACTATATCTATATATAGCTATGCCAGGTTTTTCAACCTTTGTGGTTTCACCCACCAGTGGCTGATTTCCTCTCTTAGGTGGGTAGTGAGCAACTGTGCACAAAATGGTGGCCATTTGAGATTTTAGTGGGCGTTATGGTATTTTGAGCATCAAAATCTGTATTTGACAACCGAAAAATGAGTACTGGTATATTCTATATGCGCTATATACAATAGTGACGAAACACTATGGGTGTACGAAAGATTAACCTTTCCTTGGTACTAGTAAAGCAAGTGCTTCAAGAAACCGTTATTTTACGATTGATATTTTAGAACGTTTGTTTAGATGTGCAGAAGTCTTTACAACATTCTCTGTAGATAGTTAAGTACATGTACACAGTACACTGACCTGCAAACCAATATTTTTGTACTCTTTTGGGTATCTACTATAAAGGGGGGCTGTGGAAAAATTTCCATGCGAAAGTTGGCAGTGGCAAATGAAATAAAATGGGGTTTAACATCCTACTGGGTTAATGAAGAAGTGAATATGCCATGCAGTGTGTTACATGGGAAATTTTGCCTGAATAGCGGTGCTACAACCTACTCTTTTTTTCACATTCCAACTGCCATTAAGGGTTCTTTCACTTGCATGCCAATGTGTACACAGGACTTCAGGTTTTCGTCCCATCTGAACGACCATAAGTTGTTGATTGCCAGGCTCTCCATCCTACACCACTGACAAGAAGGAACCATGGCGTAAAATCCTGATGAACTTTCTCGGGCAACGCAGAGATCGACCACAGGACCTCCATAGCAGTGAGCAGTGACACCAAAAAGGTTGCCAATCAGTGAAATGCATTATCTTGTTCTCCCCTTTGCATATATCTCCTTCACAATTCTTTCCAAGGTTTGTGTTTTCAATATTTATTGGGGATTATGCGACAAGTACTGGGATTATCTATGGAGGCTGTTTGTTTGATAAATGTATGGATTATATGAAGTATTGGTATAATGTATAAAATATTGATTACCTGTAATAATATCAGGTAACCTCGTAAATCATCTTTGGAGTGAGGCCTGTAATATCAAAACATGTATTTACTACAATAACAGGTGCTATTCTAAACACCAAAATACAAATCTACTGCATTTCCCTGCTGGGTTTGCCTTAGATCATTTGTGGGCAAGTCTATGGCCCGACTGACTGTCCCTGACATTTTGGCAGCTATATGTGCATTCTTGGCCAGCAATCCATTTCTGATAAATAACATCTATTTCCAAATACATGATATCATACCAGGGATTGTTTATTTTAAATCCTTTCAAGGAGGTCCACCATGTTTAGTTCAGGATAAACCGGTCCCAATGTCTGTAAGTAGATTTCGACTGCGAGAAATTGATATGGTGCTATCTGTTTGTGTCTCTTTAATTTAAATTGTTACATGTATTCTACAACATTGAATGAGCTCATGTAAATTCATCCTATTAAAAACAATATAAACAAGCCAACACGGTGCGGCTGATGTCCCCTCACCTCAATCACAAAATTCATTAATTACTTACACATTTATCTTTTTATAAAGCATTAAGCAGTCAAATTGATTATCACTCTGCTTCACCTGGGCAGAAAATGCTCATTATCGAAGTTACTCAAGTACTGATTTGATGTAATGAAACTCTCACCCAATGAGAATCAAAAGTTATCGTGTTCATTATGTTCATAATCAAACTTAGTCAAGGTCTTGATGTAATGTGTCTATTATAACAAAATTTTCATTAGTCTTACTCAAATAGAATCAGCATTATCATATTTCAAAGCATTGAAAAATCAAATTGCTTATCTCGAGATCTGCTAAGCCTAAGTAAGCACAAAATAGTCCCAAACATTTTTTAGAAAGGTGGATGACAAAAATGAAATTATATAAGAAATGCATAACAACGATGCAAATAACACAATTATATGGAATACAAGTTACTTAAAAGCTTTTTGATGAGGGTTCTCTCATTGTACATTAATGTTTTCATTGTTCCATATTTTTATACATATATATTCACTGTACTGTGGTTGTCATTCTTTGCTTGATAATGATCAGAGAATCCTGGTCGAAACATCACCAGAAATAAATCTTTTAAGTAACTTGTATTCCATATAATTGTTTCATGTGTTATTCAACCCATTCAGTTACTAAATGCTGTTCAAACAATTTAAACGATACACATGTAGAGAAGAGATACAATTGTTTTTATTGTAGACCTATTGCACTTGTGTTTTATTGTTTATTGTACATAAACTATTGCTATATTTTCTATAACATTATTCTGTTTGGTGTGAATCACCTTTATTCATGACACAACACACACTTCGTACAATAATTGATCGTATTTAAAATATTCTCATCAATTATCCTAAAAGCTTTCTAAATCAATATGTTATAAAGAAATTTCTTTTCTTATTCTTACAAGACAAATTTTAACGTCTACTATATCAGAACTGTTTTCTAAAGATATAAATGGAGAATGTCTTTCACAAAATTAATGTTTTACTTAAATCAATAAATAACACAACAGAGCTGTACAAAACTCCTTATTCAATGGAGGATCCATTCACTTACAACCAAAGAAACAATTCTTTCAAATCTTAATAAAAGCTAACAAGAACTGTATTGTACAAAGTGTTCACAACAAAAAGATTGATAGACAAAGAAACACGGGAAATGTCAATTAATTAACCTCCATATAAAATGTGGGTGCATAAAAAAAATGTACATTTCATCAATAAAGATGCCTTTAGCATATCCTGATTAATTGATTTCATTGTACTTTTATCACAGTGATGAATTTAATGAAATGACAATTCATCTACAAAATAAGAACATTTAATAAAATCAAGTCATAAACGCATTCTATCAACAAACTTTTATTGTCCCAATTCATCAAACATTTTCTGCTAGTTCAAAAGCTTTTTTACACATTCATTAATTAGTATATATATAAATATATAGTTACTAACAATTAGTTGCTTTGAAACTGCGGCCCAGAAACACTTATCACCAACCAACCACATATGCAAATTTATCATCAATGATGAAAAGCATTTTATAATTATCTAATAATATTTTTAATGTTTACTTTGTTCTATAAATTTGCTGAGTAATAATATTTACACAAAGTTATGACGTAACATTTTTTGGCTTGGTTTTTTTTTGTCTCTGTGTGTGGGAGAAAAGGCTTATTAAATATCAGTAATATATGCCCATGTTAATGTTTTGATGTGTTAATGTTGCAATTACCTATAATTAATAAATAACGAAAATAAAAAAGCACTTTGTGTTATGTTTACAAAGCATTTGTTTATTTTCTTTACAAAAAAAACCTACCCAAATGCATATTGAAGATGCATAAATTTAGATGCAGAGCTGGCCATTCTTGATGTAATAGTTTTAAAATAGATAATGCAAAAACAATAAAAATCATCACTGTTTGGAGTTTTGACATTCTGTGACATTGATTGTTTATTATCGTAACATCAGTAATTGTCATTCGAGACAACTTCGCTTCTCCATTTTTAAATTAAATTATTAAATGGCTGTAGCGTTCTAATCTACTTAAAACCGGTGCTATCTGATGCCCTAGAGAGTTGATTATGGGCTTGTCATATTAATAAATTTTTAAATAATAGTTTATATAACACTGAAGCCAAAAAGAAGACCTGCAATATTGGCAGATTTAGTTCTTACATAATGCATCTTTAAAGGAGAAATGCCAGTGAATAAAACTTGTTAATTCTGTATAGAAAGCTTTACTTCGAACAATTTATGCTAGTTTCCAAATGAACTATCTGAAGCTGGTTGATATTATTTCAAAGAAATACCAATAACCAGTTGTGTTCCGGTTATACTTTTTATTTTGTACATTGCTTTCCAACGAGTAATAAGAAAGGGGTTCTTTAGATTCACTTGTCCGTCGCTACACAATTACAATCAGAAATTGTGCTTGTCAATATAGCTCAGAATTTTGAGGTTGTGCAATATTCCGTTTGTTAATGGCATTACAATCGAACATCTAGTATTACTAGTGTTTGATTTACATTTAAAACTGTATTAAAATATCTGATAGCATTTAAAATGAAATATTTACATTTGTAGGTTTGGAATTAACAATGAATTCTTTAATTATCTTCGACAATCAAGAAGAAAGACCACTAATTACTGAAAACTATTACTTTAATCAATACTAATATTTTTCATTCTACCAGACTTTTCATAGTTAACAACATTGATGGAATAAAGTTCTATTGTAAACATATTTCCATGAAAGTCCTGGAATCGATTAACAGTGTTATTGGGAGCATTCATCATGTTAACTGTCATCAATATTATTTTATAATAGTTCCATATATAGTTGTTGTCAACATTCTCCATTGATTTCTGACTTTACACTAACTCAGAAATAGCAAAGTGGGCAACAACTTGGAATTTGATATGGAGGTACAGTAGAATCTGTATGAGCAGCCACTCCTATTCAGCGACATCTCCTTGTAAGCGGTCACGATAAATTCCCCCCGTAGAAATTCTGTTGTTTCATCTCTTTATTCAACGGTCACTCCTCTAACGCGGCCAGCGGTCACTATTTTACTAATAAATTCAACAAAACATCGCCCATTCAACGGCCATTGTTGAATGATACCATCTTGTCGTTCTTTGTGACACCCCCGCTAATCCCGTGAGTAGTAGTTAATTAACTGGACCCCCACTGATCAGGTAAAAAGAAATGTAAAAATAACAATCAACCCAGGATTATGTGTTAATTAATCTTTTGTTTTATTAAACGACTAACCTGATCATTGTTTTCACGCGTAACGACACATTATTTTATACTGATTGAATAAAATAAAAGTACCGAGTTTTGTCACGATCATCTAGTATCTCTCTTAGCGCCTCCTATAATATTACATACAGAGTTACACCCCCTGTAAATAGGTGACACAATTAGCGATGTTTTTTTTTTGATAAAATAAAATGAATTCATCGATTTTCTTCACAAAAATGGATAAATATTACCGAATGCATCACAGTAGTATCGAAGGTTGGTACAAAATGACAAGTTTACAGAAGTTATGTCCGAGATTTGAGTAAAGAATTTTCGTTCGGCGCAAGATTCAGCGACGGTCAAATTTACCGCTTCCAATGCATTCAAGCGTAATATTTAATTTATGTCAGCACAAAAAGCTCCAAGATTTGATTAAGAGGCCACTCCCGTTAAGTTATGTCCGAGATTTGAGTAAAGAATTTTCGTTCGGTGCAAGATTCAGCGACGGCCAAATTTACCGCTTCCAATGCATTCAAGCGTAATATTTAATTTATGTCACACAAAAAGCAACGAGATTTTATTAAGAGGCCACTCCCGTTAAGCGGTCAGTTGTGAAAATTCCCTTGGGTGGCTGCTTAATGCAGATTCTACTGTACTATGAAAAAATAAACTTTCTCATTCCATTAAAACATTTTGATTTGGATATCTGATACATATTAGAGCAATTAGGGCAATCAAAATCTATTATCGAATAAAATGTCTTTTATCTATTGTAACCATCATATCAATTTGATTATTTATATCGAAAACCGGAAAGATACAGCCTTGATAAACTTGATGGCGAGAAAACCGACAAATCAATTCCTCTCAGCCAAGCAGACAAAAGGCAATACCCCAGTATATATTCTCAAGTCATAGAAAACAATATCTGCAAATCAAACAACTCTGATTCTCTGGTTTTTAATAACAATTGTTTTGTTTTTTTTGTTCTATGAAACACTGGCGCAAAATTAAATTACATGCACTAGCCATTAAAACATAGGGGTGATGATTTTCCATTTTAAAAAGTGTCATTTTTGGATACAGGAACTTTTGTTGACTAGGTTTTAGAGAAACATAAACTATCTAATTTGGAATTAGAGTACAAAGTAGGATATTTAAGTTTAAAATTGAAGGGGTCATATCAATATATTTTTCTTATTTTGCAGGAAAATCATCACTCCTATAAACTGTAGGCCTACATGATGGGAATGTGGTATATAAAAGAGAAAAAATATGATTGTTGAGGGTGTGGCAGTTACGTGTGTTGGTCAGATCAGTAAATTTAAAGGGTCTATCCCGATTTGAACAGAGTCTCAGAAATAAAAATTGGAGTATGTATGAAATTTAAGTGCCAAAATATAGAGGAATGATGTATTTAACTTGTCTCAAAATTTAAGTTCAAAATATTGAGTTGTTTGGACATGAATGTCAAAACTGCTTATCCGGACACGTAACCCTTTTACGATTTTCGGTCATTTTTCTTGTTGGGCGACCTGATAATCGATTCCCATTCCTTTAGAGGTCTATACAGTGAATAAACCATGTGCTGTACTTGATAACGAAAGGTAAATTTCACCTACACATTATTTTTATAAAATAATACAGCTTGGGACACTGGTCTCCATTTCCAGATGCAAACTGACGGGTTTAAGTTGTTTGAAAATGTATTACATATATTGAGTTAATTCCTAGACCCTTAGGTAGAAGATTTTAAGGGATTTTAACAAAAGAATATTGGGATTAGCCCTTTAAAGATAAATATAAAAGAGTGTTTAATGGCTTCACCATGCATATCTTATATATTGACCTCAAGTTTACTGAATGTCATTGTGTTTGATAAAGATAAGAGGATACTTGTCGAAACACCAATATTTTAGAATAAAAGCAGTGATTGTTTCCCATAAAAATTGTGTATTGTTAATGTGATCATAAATCATCTTCATGTTCGATAAGAAACAATATAGAAATGGAAATTTATTGTCTTGACAAGCAATCTATTTCCCTATAGAATTATTCAATCAATTACAATACATTATTAATTATCATGTAAGACTAATGATTCATTTTAACACATGTATTGTACAATATTACACAGTAACCTCCATACAAGGTCCTATTTGTATCATCTCTTTCAATCTAACTCAAATCTCTCAAGTTTTCACATTTACATGATTTTACATAAATATAATGACAATAACAAGTGTACTTGTAATAACAGTAAATAAGTAGCACCATACTGGGATACTAATTCTAAAGAATGTGTGCAATGTACTCTACTGAAATAATATTATCAAAATAAAAGCATTTAACAAAACTACATCAGGGTAGCACATAGATAGGTGATGTCATTATTTATTTATTTTTTTTGGGGGGGGGGGGGGGCTTTTTAAATAATAACAAAATCAATTACTTTTCTGAAGTTTTACCTTAGCAGTAAGGAATATGTATCAATGTGTGAATGTTTTCCAAGGTGATGATATGAATATCTATAACTATATACAATGATTTAGAAAAGGATTATTTCCTTAATTTAAATAATGACATCCCCTTTAAACAGTTTGACTGCATACAACATTTATTTTTAACAATGTTTTAACAATGTCTTACCAAACTCTATGGTCTCTATGTCTGGATTTGCATAAAAGATACAAAGATTTATTTTAAATGCATATATTCCCTTGTTTTTATTAATTCTATACTTTTTCTATTTTTCTTTCGTGTTCTCTTATCTAGTGAGACAGTTGATTCTTTTTATGAATTGTCAGATATTCTCTCACAGTCTCACACAACAACTTTTGGTCTTCGAAGGAATTATTAGTGAGCAGAAAATTGCCGACGTATCTGTTATCACTCGTCACTTTAGTCAGTTATATAGAGAGATAACTCATGTTTTGCTTTTGCGTTTGTCACTTACGATTGTTGAAACCTACATTACGTATCGATCGTAGCAATGATCTCTGTTAAAATTATGTTTGGAACATGTTTCACCAGCTCTATCACATATGTGATAATGACTGACACCAATATTGTCCTTTAAATGATTAGATGTCTTATTTGCAAAGATCTATTAATAACAAATTTGTTTAATTACTTTATCAGAACCATAAATAAATGTTATTTCCGGTTTAAAAATTACAAGTTGTTTTCAGTATTTCTATCTTACCTTTTATCTTTGAGCAAACTGTTAATAATAGCTTTTAAAACATCTTTTTGTACATCTTGAGGCTGAAGTAATTTCAATTATGTTATCAAAATATGAAATATAAAGGTGGTTGCCAGGCAACAAAAATATACCCACAGCAGCTTAAAGATACATTATGGGAGATTTTTATAGAGAGTTGGCCATTCTTGCTATAACAGTTCAAAAGTAGATGATGAAAGAAGAATATATTGAAAATTTCAGTCAAATTACTTTATTCTGAACATAGTTATCATCGTTGTAATATTTGACTAGAAATGGTAGTGAAATGTGCCTTAACCTTGGCCGATCGTTTGTTTGACAGGTGTTAACTCCAGCTACATATCTCGATTATCAAGTAAAGTTTTCAATGGCATGCGGAAACGCTCTACAGCGGCCTCGCTTAGTACACTCTATCATTTAGCCTCGATCTAACTGACGTATTCTTATCAGGGTGCGCCATATTTGATTTAATCAATAAGTGAAATCCTATTTAAATCTGAGCTGTAGCCAAGCCATCCATGGGTCTACAGAGTTGATTTGGGGCTTGTTGTTTAAATAAAGATCTAATTTATAATTTCTATAACATCTGAAGCCTAAATTAAGACTTGCAATAATCAGATTTAGCTCTTGCATAATGTATGTTTAAGTTATTGGAGTAATCCATTATGGTTATTGCACTCAAATGATAATTTTAATCTCTCTAGTAACCGCAAGATTTTTCAGGTTGATCACAGGCAGTAAACAAGTCCAAACTGCCTCAATGGAAAAAATAAATTGATGACATTCAGCCTATTGCAGGTCGTTCTTTAGGTCTTAAATATTATCTAAATTATTAATTATTATTAACTTGCCAATACCACCATACTCAACTTTCAATGCCATCGGATGCTCTAGATTTTCAACAGATTTAAATACGATTGGCAGTTAATGATTTAATTTTAAAATAGATAATCAAGACTTTGCTGATTATCATAACAATGGTAGCAATGACAATCGTGACTACACTGTTCTGCAATTGACGATAACTTCGCTCAGAAGGAAGTAATTTGACTGAAATTTTTCACATATTCCCTTTTCATTACCGGTATCTATTTTTTAAATATAACATATATATCTTTAATTACTTGCACATTTATCTTTTTATAAAGCATCTATCCATCAATTTATTGCTCACTCTGTTTATTTTTTTGGTAATGGGGGCATTTAACAGACACTAAAACCTTATCAATATAAGGTCCTATAAAGTAATTATCAGATATAGTTGGCTTTTAGTTCTTCCTGGAGTTAACATTTGAGTCAGTAAATCATCACAGTCTGTTACTATTTTTGAAATATTTAAAAAGACAATATCAACAGCATATAGCAAATTTAAATTCTTGCACGGCTGAACAAGCTCAATTGATTGAGTATACTTGAGAATTCAGTCATCGCACTTTGAATTATTAACAGGTAATCTGATACACAATGTAATTTTATCTAGCCTATTGTTTATTAGGCATAAAATCCTATTATATAATACAATACAATAACTCTAATCCTATTATATTTTTATCACCCAGAAAAAACATATAAATCAAATCTTGATAAACAAGCAGTTGCCATGCAAGATATGCCCACATTTTGCAAGAGATGGACAGAGAACAAGCTCAAAAAAAGAAGTGATTTTTTGTACAATCAAGGGCCAAAATTCAGGAAGTTATGATCCGATATGCATGAATATTGAAAGGAACCAAGATCTTTGGGTTATAAACATGTATTTCAAGTTTCATCAAAATCGGATCAAAATTTGTTCTGGCGAACCAACGAATCTGAAATATTTAAGTATTGAGAATTATGAGTTTGAAATTTGCGCTCTGTTGTTATCTCTATGTCCATCAAATAATAACGTTTATGTAAATGACGTACCGTGTCCTGATGTATATGTATGAAATATTAAATCATAAATAAATGTTAATATTTGATGGCTACAGAGATAACAACAGAACGCAAATTGTTAACGCCTAATTCTCAATACTTAAATATTTCAGATTCGTCCGTTCGCCAGACAAGCAACGAATTGTGGCCTCAGAGGATCCACAACCTTGATATACCATATATTTACACTATTTGAGTGCAAGAGACGGCCATTCTGTCCGTCAGTTTTGAACCGATTTCCACGAAATACGAACTCAACCAGCCTTAGGGTATTACTTTGATATATTAAAACTTTTTTTTTAATCGGATAAAAATTATGACCTCTATAGGGTCCACAAGCTAAAAACGCGCTTTTGCGTACAATCAGGGGTCATAAATCAGGAAGTTACGGTCCGATATGTGCCAATATCGAAAGGAACTGAGATCTTTGGGTTATCAACTTACGTTTCAAGTTTCAACAAAATCGGATAAAAATTGTGACCTCTATAGGGTCCACAACCTTGATATACCATTTTGTCAGTCAGTTTTGCTCCGATTTTCACGAAATTCGAACTCACCCATCCTTAGGGTGTAACAGTGATATATTAAAACGTTTTTTTAAATCAGATAAAAATTATGACCTTTATAGGGTCCACAAGCTAAAAACGTGATTTTTCGTACAATCAGGGGCCATAATTTAGGAAGTTACGCTGCGATATGCGCGAATATCGAAAGGAACTGAGATCTTTGGGTAATAAACTTACATTTCAAGTTTCAAAAAAATTGTGACCTCTATAGTGTCCACAACCTTGATATACCATATTTTTTACGCTATTTGAGAACGATGGGCGGCCATTTTGTCAGTCAGTTTTGGTCCGATTTTCACGAAATTCGAACTCTGCCATCCTTAGGGTGTAATGGTGATATACTAAAACGGTTTTTGGAATCGGATAAAAATTATGACCTCTATAGGGTCCAAAAGCTAATACACATCTACACCAAGTTTGAACATTCTAGTTCAGTTAGAAGCAGAGTCATAGCATCTCAAAAAGTGTGACAGATCGATGTGACAGACAGACCAACTGACAGACAAACCCATTTTAATAGTTCCTGCTTTCTTCTAAAGGCAGGGGACAATAAAACCAAAAAAAACCATCAAAGATTTCTACTAAGAATAAACAGTTGGGTTGTTGAAGAGCACTCGAGCAGAGTGTTTCGTTTCGAGAAAACAAAAGTAAAGCAATGATAAATCGGTTATAGGCTGTTATACAATATGTTCCATGTGAAAACAGAAGCAGATATGTAACTGATGCTTTTCCACAGGCAGAATGAACCAAGCCGAACCGGTTATCAGGTCAATGCATCTTCTCGGTAGGTGCAGAAAAGTATTACATATTAAGTCAAACCACGACTCTAGGTTCACTTTCAGAATAATATAATTTTATAAGAACAACTTCAACAAAAATTAAACTATAACAAGTATATGAATAAGGAATCAGGCAGGAATTATGATGTCTGTCAATCCATGTGCTATTGTCCAAACAACAAACATGCCAAGTTTCATGCCGACTGTACTCAAATATCAGAGTCTTGGGCATTGTTTAGAATGTCACCCCAAGAACATTAAGATTACCAATACATGTACTTTGTTCCTAGTGAATCCTGACGTTTTCTATATTACATTTAGTTTAGAGTAATTTGTGTTTACTATTGAGTATGTTTTTGAGATACTTACCAACTGTATCAAATTATCATAAACAACATTTATAAAATCTAACTTTAATCCTGAATCATCTATAGTCTTATACTCTTTATAATATAATTTTATAAGAACAACTTCAACAAAAATTAAACTATAACAAGTATATGAATAAGGAATCAGGCAGGAATTATGATGTCTGTCAATCCATGTGCTATTGTCCAAACAACAAACATGCCAAGTTTCATGCCGACTGTACTCAAATATCAGAGTCTTGGGCATTGTTTAGAATGTCACCCCAAGAACATTAAGATTACCAATACATGTACTTTGTTCCTAGTGAATCCTGACGTTTTCTATATTACATTTAGTTTAGAGTAATTTGTGTTTACTATTGAGTATGTTTTTGAGATACTTACCAACTGTATCAAATTATCATAAACAACATTTATAAAATCTAACTTTAATCCTGAATCATCTATAGTCTTATACTCTTTATAATATAATTTTATAAGAACAACTTCAACAAAAATTAAACTATAACAAGTATATGAATAAGGAATCAGGCAGGAATTATGATGTCTGTCAATCCATGTGCTATTGTCCAAACAACAAACATGCCAAGTTTCATGCCGACTGTACTCAAATATCAGAGTCTTGGGCATTGTTTAGAATGTCACCCCAAGAACATTAAGATTACCAATACATGTACTTTGTTCCTAGTGAATCCTGACGTTTTCTATATTACATTTAGTTTAGAGTAATTTGTGTTTACTATTGAGTATGTTTTTGAGATACTTACCAACTGTATCAAATTATCATAAACAACATTTATAAAATCTAACTTTAATCCTGAATCATCTATAGTCTTATACTCTTTGTTAGGATCTCTCTACAATAAAAAAAGAATACAAATTTATTTGGGCATTACTCTAACAATTTCTGATGATATAAAGGAAATCAATACCCTAATTTCTGTATCTATACATAATATCAAGTTCATGTCTTTCTGTGGGACAAGGTTCAAGCTGGGTTAAAACATTTACCTACAAAATTTGAAAAAATAACCATTAGAAATTTTAGTACTAAATTTGTTTTATGACAATGACAAGAAAAATGCCAATGTTTTTTTTATACCTGGTACTGGATATATCTTTCATTTCATTTATATTTTGACATACTGCTAGTAATGATCGCAAGTTATGGTAGATAAAATTTTATTGTATCAAAATATCCATTGAGGACAGCATACACTATAAACATATGTACATGTCATAAATAACAATATGTGACATTTGGCAAAAAAAAAAAAAAAAAAAAAAAACAACCAAAAAACAACCAAAGGACAAACGCAGGTGCATTTTTAAGAACGAAACAAAAGTAAGATCTGATAAAATGATGAAAAAGTTGATTGACTGTTTGGAGATTTGATCAGTAATTATCACGATATTGAATTTTTGAAGCACGATAATTCTAATTATCACGATAATTAACTCCGGACGATAATCCCCGATATCGCGATAATTTATTTTACCAATATCGTGAGATATCGCTAAGATATCTACCCACCAACCCCTTTCAATGGCAAGCTGATGAGTACTTAATCGTAGGGTAGACATCGCAATTTTGAATTTCTTATTATTAACAACCTCTAGATATTTTGGGGTGTTTCTGAATTTCTTTTTGAATAATCTGAAGGTTCTGAGTTTATGGTTAGGTCTGCAAGATTCAGCAAGGAGATAGAACTTACTTTCTATTGAATTTTAACATTCTGTCTCAAAATTTTTGTTGGAGAGAGGTCATATTTTTTGAAGATATTTTGGATAGCCGCATACCAGGAGAGTTTTGGGTTTGATTGCGAAATTTTTATGTCTTCCTTGTATGCATAATTAAGTAATGAGTTACTTAAAGATACATTCCCGCGTACAAACTGGGTGATTTGATGATATATTTGGACTAAAAACATATTCAAACTGATTAATTTATCATAATTTTGCTTCAAATCCTTCTCAAAACATTGTAATTGCCAAGGAATACCCTGCTATAAAAATCGATCAAAAGAGGTCATGTTTCAGTGTCACGTGACTTACCTCTCTCGGTACCTATAGCAACGGGGCCGAAGTCAGAGGAGAATTCATTGTATACACAAGACTATGTTGTCTTTAATCGCTGACTATTTATTACAAATATCTAATCCTAATTAAATACTCGGATTATCCACTGCCCGCGTCTTTTTCCGTGATTTTTATCTCAGAAAGTGTTGTATGTCTAACTCTTCAAAAGTTTATCAACATATACACCAAGCGCTCAATCTTCGCATGCAACCTTCGACGTCACACGTGCAGGTATTCCTAATCGTTGGGCTGACGATTTGGGAAACCCTTACGGAAATAACCACCCGATAATTACTTTTCTGGGAACCTATCTTTAAGATGTTCCTATTTTCATTTAGTCTTTTATAGTACATAGTCATTCTTTGAAATATATCTATATTAACAGGAAAAATTCCTAATTTGGCTAAGCATCCTATATTGGATGCTTTTAGTGTCTGTGTGTAAGGATAGACTTACATACTTTAACGGTCATTTTATTCGTATTTATTTTATCCCAATTTGCTATATCAAAGTTCTTACTTAATACTAAATTATCCCCCCAAACCTCTGAGCCTTGACAACCCTAAACAAAATCATTTGTTGTAACTCAGTATTTGCTATATATTGTGTTCTTTTAAATGCTTAAGACTTGACTATATAACAATCATGCCTTATTGAAGTTATTTGTTTGACTTTTGACTTCATAGAAATATTGTCACAGAATCTATAATATGACTCATTACCGGTAATATCCTTTATAGAATAAAAGTAAGTACGCTAAGTAACAAGTATATTGTCTATATTTAAGACATAATCAATCTCCGTCTAAATATAGTTCTGGCTTAATTGATTTTTTATAACATATCTGGCAGTTCATCAAACTCTACAGACTTAAGTTGGAACTCATTCAAATTTGCACATCTTCGATTATTAATATTATCTTTTATTTTTATGTCAAGTTTTTATTTCATTGTCTATAGTGTAAAATAAGAACAGTTTAATTTTCAGATTTTTATAGATTCTGGTAGTAATGATTAAGATTTTAGTCTCAGTCCCTTTGAAGTACCCCTGCTTGGCTCCCGGGGATGTAAAATCTTCTAAATTACCAGTAGTAAGTACAAAATTTAGTTGAAATCGATTAACAGAAAGTCAAATATAGAAACAGGGCAGATCCAATTCCGGCTTTTTTCCTTCGCCTAAGTCAGATCGGCAGTATGTTCACAACTTGCTGTCAAAAATACATCCCCCCTCCGCCAAATGCCAAAGCCGTTTTGCAGAAGGGGACACATTTTTAACAGCATGTTGTGTTGCACATACTGACTCTAGCCAGGTAAGCAAGGTCCTATTTTCTCACTTAAATGTTCCTTTCCATTGTTCAGGTGTTCATAGAGACTGACACACGACCGTTCAGAGTAAAAAATTGCCCAGTAAAATTGACTGCGCACCGATTTTATTTCAACAAGGATTCAATAGGACGGTTCCTGAATGTACAGGGCGATAATGAGACCTACGTTCAGAGCTGAACTAGGTCTTCGGCTAACTCGGATCTTCGCGTAACTCAGATAAAATTGGTCAGTCCATTTAGATCCGACTTATGCGAAGTTTATTGTATAGACATCAATGAAGGGTTGTTGGATTTCTCTCTTTAAAAATCTCAGTGTGTATGTATGCTCACGTAATTTGGAGACCATGATGGCATCATGAACGCCAATGCGCTCTACTATTGGTCGTCTATACTTTTGAGCTAGATATCGATGACATTATGACATCACTTAGCTCTCCCATACTCTTGAATTGATTCAAATTTGTAACATATATTATCTAACAAAAGAGATGGTTTGGTATGAAATTGTTAAGTATGTCTCATCTCTATTGTTTTTTTCTACCTACATTATATATAGCAGGAATTGTTATTTCTATAGTCTATCACATGAAACTAACCATGGGAAACTAATGATGTTAAATAAATAATGTTAAATAAATCAATACGGGGTTGAACACAAATAACATTCTACCAATGTCTTTTCAACTTTTGTCAAAAACTGTATCAAAACTAAATAGGCAATCAATCTTTGATGGACAATGTTGCTGTCCTACACTTTAACATACCGGTATGTGGCAGAATAGGTTAAACACATTCCAGATTCCTAATACTATTTTTAATTAATATGTAACATTGTTAGATGGCAGACATTGCTTTCAAGTTAGCCATATATGCTGGTCAAGACCACTTGTCTAATAAATTTACCAAAATGTCTCAGGACCCATCTATCAATTTACACACCATAAAAACTAGCATATTTTCAAAACCTCATTTTCAAACATGGCTACAATCGACCTCCACCATCTAACTCGAAATTCAATGGCCAGTACAGATACCGGTAAGTGCACATTATAGAAGTCATATGTCAGATCCTGTATAAATAGTCGTCAACAGAAGATTATATTGAATGTTTTGTTGATAATTAATAATGAATGTCTGATAGTATCTGGGAATCTTATCGATGTTGACAATATGTCCACATCGTCATTCTCTATTTGACCAACTTTGTATTGACACGTTCAATGAGAATTTTCTAGAACAAAACCAATATATATGGACACATTATACAGTGTAAAAGGATTAATTCTATCTTTGGAAATAAAAGCATTAAGACCAATCTTATTAAAAAAAAAAAATAATTAAATCCTTAATGTGTCTGGAGAAAAATACAGAAAAAAGTTGTAAACAGTGGTATGACAGTCTTGTTGGCATTTTAAAAATAAACACTAGAGATTAGTGAAAATTTCTTACCAAGAAATTGTGAGAATTACATATTCCAAATAAGCTATTTTTTTTTTTTGGCAGTAAAGATAATCCACATTTCACGCAAGTACTTTGTAAATATCTACTTTTATTTTGCAGAAACAATATTCTAGGGGCACTATCACTAACTGTGAGTACGAAGGAAAATATTTATTTGCTACATCCAGGTGTCACTATTGGCATCATATTTCATTATGATTAAACAAGACAGGAAAATATATCATAGGACAAGGAATAGACTCTAGTTTACACGTTGCAAAAACATACTTTAAAGGAGACAGCCCATGCCCATATATATTTCAGTGGATAAAACTGTTTAATTCTTTGATCAATAATTTCTGTGATACTCTTGTTAACAATATCAATAAAATTTATTGTATACAGCTTTACCTTATGTGTGCCTAAGGGCGACCTCATTGCAATATTTATCACATTATATATTGTAAACACAAAGCACAAATTAAAACTTTAAGACAGAGAAAGGCCAATTCTAAAACATGTAGCATATTTCATTCTTCTCCAAGAAATACTAACAAAAAAATAATATTATGGTCATATATTTGGATACAAATCTTATGTTTTGTTACAAATGTATCTTGCACTTGGTAGTATATCAAGATACTATCTACCATTATTTAACACAGAAGAAAGGTGAAAATAAATGAATAATTCCATGACTTATTCTGTGTGTATTTAATTGATTCTACTGTTATATCATACTGTTATAAAAAATCAATACCTAGTGTAGTTTCATTTTAACTGGCAATAATAGGAAGCAAAAACGATATAAACCCTGCATCCATTATCACTTAATTTTCTATGTTTATACTGAGCCTAGGTTATAAAAGAAAATAGGATCCATTGTTAAATATATCTAAATCCGTGCTCATGTAAATCATAATAGTTCTGTTTATGTGAAAACTGATGTAACTTGAGGGATGGACAATTATGGGCGTGATAACAATATTAATATATGGGCTAATGAACGTATTAAATGATATATAAATTATCTACTCTTAAAAAAACCAACCTTAAAGGCAGCATTTAATTCTATAACAGACTCAAATGTTGTTGTATAAAAATCTTTTACAGTTTTCCAGTCCTCTGAATCCCAAGCAGCCTGTATATCCCCGCTATAATAAAAAAATAAATAAAAAAAAGTCTAAAATAAATAACTATTATAGTTCATTTAACATAAAATTAACATAAAGTTCAAGACAGAAGCAATTACAGAATACTTTCTGCACCCACACAACAAAATTTGTACATAAAAACATCACACAATAGCATTTTCACATAGACCTGTGTTTATGTTCTTGCGAATGGAATGAATTATTTCCAACATCAGATCAGACTTCCATTCTATCTAATTTATAAACAAACAATTAATCACTTGCTCATTTATCTTTTTGTAAAGCATCGAGTAATCAAATTCTTTACCACATCGCTTATCCTGAGCTGAAAATGCTCATTATCAAACTTAGTCAAAATACTGATGTAATGAAAGTTTGAAACTGTATAATGTATACCAAGTTTCATCATTCTCAATTAGAATTACAGTTATTGTGTCCCAAACCAACATGAAATTAAATTGATTATCCATACTTTGCCTAAGCAGAAAATGTTCATCATTGAGCTCAGGCAAGACATTCACCTAATGAACATCTACATCAAGTCTTGGTAATTCTACCTCCATTATAGAAGCAGTTATTGTGTTCCAAGATCTTGACCAATAAATTGCTTATCTACATAGCCTAAGCAGAAATCGCTCATCATCGAACATAGGCAAGTATCATCACTCTCGACCTTCAAACAGCTCATATAACTCAGAAGTTTAACTTGGGCAGAAAATGGTCATTAATGAACTCCAGGTGTAGATGAATTTTGATCATCACTCTCACTCAAACTGTTTATCTCTACTTAGCTGAAGTTTGAGAAGTGATATTGTGTTGAGTTTCAACAAGTGTGAAAGACAGATGTATATACAGATGACTGGAGTCAGCTAACCCCAATTTAATAGTCCCCTGCTTTCTTCAACTAGATTAACTGCAATTTTAAAGTGCTCACAAATTAATCTCTTAATATATTTGATAAAAGTAGATCCTACTCAAGGCTAAAAATTGTCATACTTACATTAATTGTTCAGCTGTTTTGGTTCTAACAGGATAGATAACTCTATTGTTAGAACCAGAGCTGCCTATATTTCGTTGAGCAGGATTATCTGAGGAAGACTGGCTGCCAGCTGGTGAACGTGGTGACAAATATGCAGGACCATTACTGCGATTTGTAACCTTATTGTTTCCATTTATTGGTGGTAATTCAGTTTTGTTTCCTTCATTATTTGATTTAGATGATCCAGAATTAGATTTTCGATTGGGACCAAGATTATTGAAAAAGTTTGTGATAGTTTGAAGACCTCCTCCAGATCGACTTGATTCTTCCTGAAAGAAAGATTGAAGTATGTGAGAGTTTACAAATAACATTATATAAAAGAAAACTTTTCTTGTTTCAGTTCTTTGTTTACTATTATACCCAGTATACTGATCCCTTACAAACCTGAAAAGATTAATAATTAAATAAAATATTCTGCCCCAACGACAGCAGGTACCGTCACAATTCTGGCATAGGCTACACTGTTTCTGAACTGATCAATCAGTAATTCAGTCTTTCTTATTATTCCGAAAGGTCAATGGATACAAAGATATAATATGAAAGACATGTATGTACAGGGTTTATAATTTTGCCAGCCAGTTAATTTTGACATATTAGCAAGATACTTTTTCCAAAGGATATGAGAATTTTTAGCATTATCTCAATTCTTTACAGGCCTATATAAAAACGATAAATTAAACTGTACACTATCTAGTTTGTTTCATGGTTAAATTCTTTAATATATTAATTTCATAGCATGTAAATTGACTGACAAGTAAGTTATCCAGACGGTCAATTTCACTTTCAGTCTGCCAAATATGACAGAAAAGAGAACACTGAACTGGGTGGATAATACCGTAAGTAATGCAACAGAAAACGCTTCACTTCTCGCTATAGTATATCCCTATTACGCCACGGTTGAAAGAAACTACAGCTACTTAATCTTACATTGTTGTTGTCTTTGTTACGCTCTTGAACCATCCGAGATCGCCTATTATAGGACGGTGGTCTTTCGGCGGCTTCATTATTGTAGAAATTGCCACAATTTGGACAAATCGTTCGTCTTGACCCCGCTGCTTGGGCCACACTATGATCACACGTCGGACAAGTTATCACAGTCGTTTCCCCATCTGAAATTGTAGCCATGGGCATAGCACATGCCGCTGTCATACTCCTTTTAAATGCATATTTGTCAAAATTACTATTCCAACACAGTTACAATATTGCCAATGCCACAGTCACCCGCTTCGACAAAGCCGCCATCTTTGTTTTGACACGTGCCCGTCAAATAAAAATCGATGTGTGTACATAATTACTATGACTACTGATTTGTCCTTCTTATTAATTTACCGAGCATACAAACTGCACTATTTTAAGTAGGCTAAGGTTCAAAACCTTGAATAGTTGACATGGAAAATGTCCTAAATTATGTTTTTCTTTTCACTGCAAGACAGATTGCCCCATTTCCCTCGGTCTGGGAGAATCATTTACATTTATAATTCCTAGTTTATTTTGTGGATAGAACAAAAATCTTTCAGTACAGTCGCAATCAATACAAAGGCACTATACTGTCGTGGTGTGATCGTCTGATTAAATCTCCAAACAATCAACTTTTTCATCAATAATTCACCATCTTATCAGATCTTACTTTTGTTTCATTCTTGAAAATGCACATGCGTTTGTTTTGTGGTTTTTTTTTTCTTAAATGTAAACATGAAGAATACCTAATTAACGTCTCTTTTCATCAACAATTCACCATCTTACAGAACTCGCGTTTATTTCATTCTTGTTATTATGCACCTGCGTTTGTTTTGTGTTGCTTTTTTTAAAATGTAAATATGGGAAGTAATTTAACATCTTTTTTCGCAACATAAAATATCAGACCTTGTCGCCTGAATTATTAACCAAATCATCGAAATTACATTACATTATTAATGTAAGATGCGGCGGATTACCGGATTAAAGACACGATTAACATTCCAAGATAATGTACATTTGTGACCTTCAGACCACATACATTGCAATAATAATCTCCTAAACCGAGATCCAGACCATCACAGGCTCCCGCCATCTCTTGCTTCTCTAAGACCGGTATCCAAGTGGCCAAAATGTTTTTATTTTTTTTTTATTTCCACGAACACCGAGGCCAAAATGATATCTAAAGGCCCGGTCCCGGTGGCCGATGGACACAAAACGTATGCAAAAAGGACACAGCGGACGAGCAAACTTTCGGGGGTGGCTCCATCCGTTTTCATCCGCTCCAGAAAGGGACAAAATTGACGAAAATTTGCGAAAACAGAACGGAAAAGAACGAACGTGGGAAGTATGTAGCGGGGATGTTAAATGGGTGTTCATCGGAAGCCTAGCGGATGAAAGCGGATGGAAGTGGATGACAGCTCCGACATCCTTCAATATACCAGATACATCCCAGATACAAACGCTTTGTCCGTTTTGAAAACTTTATATACGAGATGCATACGCTTACATCCTTTCTATTTCCATGCTACTAACGAAGTATAGACGTTCCATGTACCTTATCTTTCCTCCCTCTTTCCGTTTTCAGCTGGAGCGGATGTGAGTTGCGAGGATGCCCAGAGGGTGCAGAGAGGATACAGTGGACGTTTAACGGATGATAACGGACATGTAACGTTTGGTGCTCGTATATGTCGCGAATTTACATCGTACACGGCAGAAAGTTCATCCGTTATAAAAGTTTTGTGCAGCTCAAAACTTTTTGCGCGGATGAAATCAAAGTGAACGGATGCTCGATGGATAGAGCGTATGAAACACGTATGCAATGAGTACACAACGGATGCATGGCGTTTTCAAATGGAGGGCACGTTTCCCCCCCCCCCCCCTTTGACATCCTCTTTGCATCCGTAAGTGCAATGGGACCGGGCCATAATGTACCATGTTTTGTTTCGATTAAGATTACTACAATACACGCTTTATCTGTTTTAAAGGTGCATAGACGGGACCTGTTAGGCCTCGCCCACGCAGTAGCAATTAAGTCATCCGTGCTAAATTATTGTCAACAATTTTCACAGAGCAAGTGCCCGGAAAGTTTACTTCACCCGCAATTCGCGTTTGAAATTTATGATCTGAAAATGAGCAATTCAACAGCAACTTTCCTTATATCCCCTAATGAACAATGTATGTATGTCTTGTATCGTGTTTAAAAAAAATACGATGCTGTAAAAAAAGAGAAATGAGCAAGTGATTAAAGGGTCTTCTAACTTAATATCATCCATAACATTCGAAATTAAAAACACGAATTAGAATTCAATATTGGTCCATTTCAATCAACATTGATGTTGTTATCTTGCTGTAAAATATGGGATCCTAATATTTAAGCCACATGAATATCTTATAATCAGCACTGTAGCCTACACGAGTTGTGTATTTTATGGTTTCGGGCTCTATTTGTAATAAACAAAGAAAAACACATCCCGCATAACAATGCGGAAGTAGTAATGATTTAAAAAAAAAAACGTGGAGAATGAACTAAAGGCGTAAACGACTGTCGTTCATTTCGGACTGATTAGATTCGATATTACAATAAATTTGTTAAAAAAATAAAATTGACTTTATATACATATTTTAGAGGTGTAAATTCTCTCTTCGGATATACCAGACTTCGAATGATTCTTCAATTCTTTAATATACCGGAACATAAATATACATATATCGTCATATAGTAAAGACAGGCCAGTTACTGCACTTAGTAAGGGACCCTAACAAGTGACCCCTTCAATGTACAAATTTTGTAATATTTAAGGAAATCAGATAAAAAGATAAAAGTAAATGTTGTAATTAAAACTGACATGTCGATAGATGAACAATGCATAAAAGATTAAACAATATAATAAATCAACAAAAACAATAGCTGAGATTAACGTCGTTACCAATGACGGCTTGAAAAGCGGTGACATGTTAATTACTTATTAGGAAGTTGACCTTAAGTGGTTAATTTAAGAAGCATTAATTATCTTAGCGATAGCAGTTTATCACATCATTATAATATTACATTAATATGTGCTTTTAGAACCATTTTCATCGAATTGATTAGAAATTACAATAAATTTGTTAAAATTTGAATAAACACTTTATACATTAGTATTACATTAATATATGCTTTTAGACACATCTTCATCTATGTTAAGGTTCCAAACATTTCATGTTATAATATGAACTATAGTTATTTATTGTCCACCTTTTTAATAATTTATTTGTTTAGATTTGTTTGTCCAGGTTCTGGAATATTAGGTGCGACTTAAAAAAGGCCCCGGGCGTGGGACGATCATTTTATCATTTTGAAAATTAAAATGTAAATATCGAAAATTTGTTTCAAGTCGTTCCGCTCGGTCGGTCGTTTTTACACATAAACATCAAATTTATGTCAAGCTCCCTTTACAGGGAATGATAGGTGTATGTCGACAAGAAATCAAAACTACGCTGCCCTCAACATTGCGCAAATATATGAAATAGAAATAATAATGGCATGGACTCTTTTAATGAAACATTTTGCCTTCCTTCGCTCGGCCC